ATGCTACCTAGGCCTTCGGCCGAATTCGCAATATTTAACTTTTCACACATCACATACGCACACAGTGCTTCGTTCGTATTAAATGGGCGGGCCCTCGATCTGAAGTCACATCCTCTTTCGACCTTGAATCTGCTGATGTTGACAAGCGAACTTCTGTTTTGCCTTTTTATTCGAATTCACATTACCAAGGAAGGCATCCAGTTTTGGGTATTTTTGTAAGATGACATTTCGCGCGGTCAACGCTACGTCAAGCGACTTGCACGGTTACCGTCACACCAATATGACTATATTATATTCACTTTGGTTACCATAAAACAAGACGCGTGACTGGTATCGGTACTAATTGTAACGCAACGACGCGCACACGACAGTTCTTTCCGTACATGACATTTTATACAGTATTTCATTGTTTTAAATACCAAAGTTAAGACTATTTGAGACATTGGACCAGCTTAATTTTAGTTCTTCAACTCTTAGAATGCGCTTGTCTACGGCCTTGCACTGACAACCTAGGCGCGACCTATTTTCAGACTTTCCGCGACCCGAACCCGTACTTTAAGAACCCCTGATCTAAAACAATAAAATAACGAAATAAACGAAAAGAACTGACTATTACGGCGGCACAGGTGTCATTAAATAGGTGTCTACAACTGGTCGCAGCCAAATATTGATGTCAATGTTGCATTTAAAATTTGCCTTTTTGATACACTATCGCGACATACTCGGATTGTGAACGTCCTCACCATTGACAATACAATGAGTAGGAGAACGGTAGGTGACTACTTATGGAATGGGGAGCCTATTCGTGGAATCGACTTGAACTAGTCGGAAATTTAGCAAACAAAATATTTTTTAATTTTAGTCGCAAAAGATTTATTTAAAATGGGTCCGTATTAATTTCTTCAAGATTTTTTACATAGAATACAAGGAACACATATCTGGAATATCAAAAACACTAAAAATAACACCAGACTATTTTTTAAAGAGTTTTATGTTATAAAGAGTTCCAGGTTTTATGCTGTTCCTTATCACACATACGGGGTGTCTCAAATAGAAGTACAGTATACCCTTTTTATTTTGATTTGCTTTTCAGGTACTCATCACAAAGTGTGCATTTATTCAGAAAACATAGTATGGATAAGTAGTAATATTTAGGTATTGTTTGGCAAACTCAGCGCCACTTTAACAGAGAATTTGGAATCAATTCGGCTCTGAATGTTTTCTTCAGAGCGTCCGCTCCTTGGTCTTCCTGATCTTCGTGCATCAACTACAGATCCAGTTTCCATGAATTCACGATGAATCACATAAATTGTTCGTCGTGTAGGAGCCGAATTATTTCCAAATTGCCAAACAGTAATTTTGCACATCATTTCTTGTGTTAATCTCCCTGTCATTTTGTGGGTTGCTAAAAAGGCAATCAATACCTAAATTTTACTACTTATCCATACTATGTTTCCTGAAGAAATGAACGCTTTGTGTACCTGAAATACAAATTAAAAGTGTATACTTACTTTTCAGACACCCTGTATATCATGAATTTGGAAAAACACCCCGTTTTTCACCAAATTGAGAAAAATAAGGTGATTTTCTCAATGTACATGTCAAAAGCTAACAGGAAGTTTAGGAAAAAGCTGGGAACAAAAACAAAGTTTTTTTGTTACACAGTAAATTATTTCTGCTTTCTAGTATTCCCTCCATATTCGGTTGTCGAAGAGCAATAAAATAGGATTCCAGACTTCAGAAATGTCTTGCCTGAAATTGAATAATAGCGTTCCGTAGGTTTCATGCACTTCATCAGTAGATTGAAATTGTACTTTTTAGACAAATACAAGATAATGATCTAGATCAGTTTCGAAGTCCCCATGAAATTTTGTACTAGTGCATACTTTTACGTACATCTGCGTCTCCTCGATATGGATCTAATAGCGGCTTTAGAAGGTCGTTAAAAATACTGTATCATTGTTCATTAAAGCTAAGCTATATGTGCGGTATTGATAACATGAGTAACAAAGTTACATTCGAGGCTTAGTTCTTTTTAATTTGGCGATATCACCATAACCTGAACAATGGCGTGAAAGATTGGGATTCATGTGTATAACTATAAAAGGTTTCAAGTCGGTTTAGCCACAGAAACTACGTATTTTAATTGAATGATTTCGACTTTTGCTAAGAAGGAACAAGCATTATTGTTCGGGTTATTAAAGTACATTACACAGTTAAATCGTGGCCTTCCATTCTCTCATCTGACAAAACATGTGTTGGCAAATGTCGCTGTTCTGCAAATTGACTACGAATAGATAAAGAACATATGAGATTGAAAACTAACATTTACTTTTATTACCGCTACTAGCTTGCTTCATCCCCAAATTTGCACCAATTTCAAGAAGATTACTTGTGACAGAGAGTCTTGCGAATGCATCACTTCCTACAGAGTTATCAGCAGAAATCCATGATATTGCCAATTTTTAATTTGCATCTGCAAACTTTGGGTGACGTCAAAGAAATTAAGAATCGTCCGTATACCTATCATAAAATCATCATGGTCAGAGAAACCCTACATGAAGTTCCAAAAAAGAACTTTCCAAGAGAACGGCAAAAAAAATGCATGAGAAATATTCAAATTCAAGCGTTCCGGTTGACTGAGTTATTAGGTTATCCTCAAACCTTGCTTTTGTTGCATCATTTTGAGTTTGAAATATTCTTCTAACATACATATTCCCTGTACATCGTTACCACCAACTAGCAAACGCTTCTAGTCCGGCAGATAAGGGGACCTTTTTGGCCCAAGTTTGATTTCAGACATAAAGTTTTTTTTATTTGTGATTATTCAAGCACCAAATTTACTAGGAAATAAAATCAATAACTTTTGGGTATTTGTTGAGATATTTGTATTAGAGTTTTTCGTCAAACCTGTGCATCATAATGACGCACAACCTGAACAATAACCTGTTACAATACTATGTTCAGGTTGTGCGCAATCTTGGTGCACAAACTACGCAAGCACCAAATTTACCAGGAAAGAAAATCAATAACCTTTAGGTATTTGTTGAACCCAGCTTTGGGTCGCGACCCGTATATATGGAAATACTGTCGAAATATACGCGTAAAATAAAGTACTATTAGAGTACGCGTAAATAGAGTACTATTTCAAAATATCCGCTTTTGTTGCCATTAACAACACAAGCCTGCTAATGCAGTCGCCAGTGGTTCAAGTGGATATACACCCGGTGGAGAACAGTCAATTATTTGTTAGCGAGAATTGTTATGCAGCGGGATGATCACGACGACGCACTGAAAGATAATGATATCACAGAACAAGAATGAGAAAATTGCTACATTTTATAGTATATCCATGGGAAAGCATGTAGTTCATTCTTATGTTCCATGCCAATGCTTTTCAAACTACCAAAGACTCTCAACACTTTTGCTTCTTCTCTTCTATAAAAATACATTGCTATTATATATTCGCATTTCCATCTGTTCGTTCGTGCTCCCAGATAACGGATCAGCGGCCACCAAGAGGGACGGGGTCCCCTTTTAAGAAACCCTGTCATAAAGGCTCGACCGTGCTTCTCTTGTCTGTTGTCATGCTGTCCCTGGATCTTTGGCTTGTATTAGTGAAATAAACTACCCTTTATTCTACTAAAATTGAATTTCTGACATTGTAAGGCTATTCAATGTTACCATGTATGCAAAACTATACCATGTAGGTATAAAATAATTGTTTTGAACAAAAAGTCATTGAACATTGTATGTTTACCAGGTTAGGGTTCAGGATATGCGTCATCTTGGTACGAATACTTTAAATCCACTTATAAAAAATTGCTCAACATTATATATTCCACACCCACCTGGGTATCATTATATATGTCATCTACATTATATCTAAACAATAAAAAAAACTTTATGTCCCAAAACAATGTTAAGGCCCGATTCTGTCGGACTATACCATCAATTATGTTATTTTGGACTAGACAATCTTATAGTACGAAACGTCCGTCTGCCAAACATGAAATGCTTACATGCCAAGGGATCGTAGTCTGTCACATGATTAATTGGCATTCTTAGCTCCTTGTATGATTCAAGATAAAATTGCAATCTAATACTGATTTGGTATTGTTGAAATTACTCAGTGTGATATTTAAAAGCTATCGACTATCTCACCAAATACATTATGCACTCGAAGAAGAACCTTTGATAATGTTGATTCAGTGACGAAATTGGGGCTTTATATAACGTATAAAAGTAAACACACGCCAATGAATTTTAATCCGATTTTGAAAGTAATACACACCATCGGTGTCGTGTGTTTGAACGGCGCTCTTTTGCTTGGACTCATCAACGTATAACCTGTCGCCTTCTATACAGCGATAGACGCGCATGTAACTTTAGAATTTGTAAATTAATGGAGATGGTTGAAATGTTTTTGGACTAAATTGGAGATACTGTATGCCGATGTATCCTTTTTTGGAAAGCGGGGGAACGAAGAAAACTTTCGATTTCAGTATTTCGAAGTTCAGTATTTCAGTATGTATCAAAAATTAGTTTCTGCCAACGCAGTGAAAGAGGGAAATAGATTTGAAATCACAGCCAAATAAACATTTGTATTTCGCAAGTGAGATTGAAACCTAACGTAAATTCAAAACTAAAACATACAGAGCAAACAGTTTGGTAACACTGACGAATCAAAATTATGCAAGAATGCGTTTGGCAACTCTGTACAGTAAATTATGGAACGAGCTTTAACGAGATTTTCTAGCGGCATCAGCAAATACTAACTGTGTGTAATTTGTCAAAGCAACTAAATCGATATAGTATAAAATTACAGTGTTTATTTTACTTGAAAAACAACAGTCCGTCTCCAAACTGCCAATTATTTTTACCACAACCGCAAGTCGAGAAACAGCCTCTGTTATGAGTCATTTTTTATTTGAAAAGTACAAATAAATTACTGCGAAATCCGAGTGAATTATCCATTTTTTTTTTGTATTTCCAGCAATATACGAATGAATGAATCAATTGATCATAATTGGTCAACGAATAAAATATATATAAAAATAGCGGGAGTTAATCATTAAACAAGCTTTCGTCACCGGTCCGATTTAAAGGAATGCAAGCAATCGATTAGTTTAGTTCTTCACATGTACGTGCATATTCGTTTCGTCAGTCTGCCTGTCCAGTAAAGCCAAAATATGACGTTAATTGTAAAGACAGTAGGTGAAAAGGTCTTGTATCACAATTCCCCGGATGGGGGCTGGGCTTGGGTTGTTCTCGTCTCTGCCTTCTTCCTTCAAGGGATGGTGATTGCATGGATTCGAAGCTTAGGACTTTTTTACAATGATTTTATGGAATCGTACGATGCAACAAACAGTCAGACATCATTTATAACTTCTATGGCCGCGGCGATGATGGGACTAGCAGGTTTGATTCATTGTACTGTATAGAAAATCATAATTGCCACTGTCCCACATGTATTATATTCGCGCTCAATGTGTTATGGAGAAAATATTTTAAAAATTGTATTAAAATAGAAAGTGCTATAATTTTCACAGAAGACCGCAAAACCTCCGAAAAGTAGGGACATCACCATAGGGACATCATACCACCTTGACGTGTCAAAGGCTATACATATTTTTTTGCTGCAAAAAGCTGCAGGCCCCTTAGGACTTGAATTTTAACAAGTTGAAACTGTCAGGAAACCGGAATATTGGAAACAAATGCTTCGGAGTTAAATGCAAATAAGTTTCGTTAGCAAGCGGATATACAGTGGAATTATATTAACTCGCTAATCGAGTATTTTTTTCAATTTTAAGTTTGAATTTACCCTCATAATGTCATTTAACCTCATAATGTCTGGTTTTTACATCCTATAAACGATTTCAAATAGGCTTCCCAAATGACTCATCGATAACATCGGCCAATGGGACATATTCACAAATGTATTTCTTCTTTTCAGCTCCCATCGCAGGTATATTAATGAGAAAGTTTGGAGGCAGAAAAGTTATATTGGCATCGGGTGTGCTGTGTTGTCTTGGACTTCTGCTGACAGGATTTGGCAGTGGTATATGGACCGCTTACTTGGGTGTTGGCATAATCTGGGGTAGATAGATACTATATTTCTACCACGTACATAGTAAAATTGCACCGGTAGCGTATTTTTATTTACCGACGTTGGTAATAACATTATGTGGCATGCCTTGTTGATAGTCTATGAACCAGGGGTGGGCAAGGTTTTTGGGCTAAGGGCCAAACATTTTGCTCACCTAGACTGGCGGGCCATGTAAGTTGGGAAAAAAGTTACATTTTATAAACAATATTTACAGTGTTACAAAGGCAAAGGTGGAAAACAATAAGCCTCGCGTCATCGCAATCTCAACAAATTCTTTGAGCTATTTTTTAGCTAAAACATCGAAATTTGGTTTTGGTTTGGTTGTGGCAGCATCAGGCATGCCAGATTGAATTACCCAATGGGCCGGATTTGTCCCGCGGGACGTAGTTTGCACATGTCATTCATAAACCCATTTTATTTCTGTGTCAAGGTATATTTATTTCCCTCTCTGGTAAAAATTTTTGATGACGTCTTCCTAAATTATTTGCCTCATATACCGTATAAGACCCCATCAGTAGCCTATCACGTGTGTAACACATTATGTAATGTTGTATGTATACTACAACTGTGACACCATATAAACAATTCAATCTTGAGTAGAGTAGCAAAATTCGAAATGTTCTTTTTGTGGAAGGAATTACATTTCATAATTACATTTCAATGTATTCTGTTTTGTCATGAAATGCACTAAAACTTTTGTTTTTGTTTAGGAATTGGATTCAGTTGGTCATACTCCTCCACAATTGCCCAATTAAACATATATTTCTGTCGATGGAGAGGAATTGCTAACGGAATCGCAGCTACTGGAAGTTCAGTAGGTTCGATGCTCATTCCCATTCTTGCGCAGTATCTTATTTTTACGTACGGGTGGAGAGGGGCTTTAATAGTTTTCGCCGGCATTGAATTGAATATTTGTGTGTTCGCGTCTCTGGTAAGACCTATTAGTGCGGTCACAGCAAAGCAGATGCCGAAATATAGAAATTTACAATATGCTGATAAAGCTACAAATCTCGATGAAATCCAGGCAATGACTGTTTCACTGGAAGTTCTGGATTACATTCAAAAAGCAGAAGAGCAAAAGATAGTGGATGTAAACAAATCCAAATGTGCCCGAGTGTTGAAATTTTTAAATGACTATTGGCTCCTGATGCTTCTTGCATGTGCGGAATTTGGAATAGGACTTTGTGTCTATTACCCAATCACTTTTATTGTGCCGTTCGCAAAAGATTTGGGATGTACTGATGAACAAGCAGTGTTACTCCTGTCCATGACAGCAATCGGAGATGCAATATGCAGACCACTTAGCGGGTTCTTGCTTTCTTGCTATCAAAATATGGAAAGAAAAATTTTATTTATAATTGGATTTATTTTCTTGGCTAAAGCTGGAATATGTGCAATGGTACTTTTTGCGACCGGTTTCGAGAGTCTTTTAACTTTTTCAATATGTTATGGTTGTCTGTTCGGGATGTTTGTTACCACAAAGTCGACAGCGATTCCAGCACTCTTTGGAATAGAAAATGTAGTGAAAATCATTGGCCCGATGTTGTTGATAAGTGGAGTGGCAGCCGCCATAAGTGGGCCTCTTGCGGGTAAGTTTATTTTTAATAACTGTTCACTGTTATTACGCAAAGTTGGTTAATTGCAGGACGGATGAATATAATGTATCAAACCAGATCGTTTTACTTCGTACTAACATATCCGAGTCCTATTCCGCATGAAGGTTTTTAAGGTCAACATATCTCTAAATTTTCAGTCAAGTAGCCTAAGATATATATATTTATGTCTCTATTTTTCGACATGTTTTGTTTTCTGAAATTCCTCAAAAGGGTGTTGATAATCCGAAGTCAACTCTTCCTACAACTTTGTAGCAAGTAAATGTTAATCAAATACGGCTACCCGTAGCTAATTCCAACATTCAGATATTTGCATCCTAATAATTTTCCAACCCACTGTTTGGTTGTTAGCTTTTTATTAATAGTAAGATTTGCTTTAACTTTGCAGGACATCTGGTAGACATCTACAAAACGTACAAAGCTGCTTATTTCTATTCAATGGGATGCTCCATATTGACTTTTCTCATACTCCTAATTAGCGGAATATGTGTACAAAAACTCGGTGCAGTCCTTCCAGAACACAGATCATTAAGGGCAAAGTGACACTGATATTCACGCACAAATGTGCGCGTATTTTACTAATGAAAGTTTACGCCATTCTCCAAACCAATCAGAATTTATTTTATGAGCACGAGAATAGAGAACCATATTGAGTCAACAGCCTATGCTTATTGACGCACTATTTGCACTTGACACGAGATATATATATTGTCTCACTGAGACATTCAACTTGTTATTAACAATTCCTCTCGTAATCGTGTCTAATAAAAAGTTTTTACACATGAAAATTGCATTTGATGATGCCCAAAGGGAATAAAGATAGCTGAAAAGTTTAAAAATGTATATTGCAGTGCCAGTGTCGGGAAATAATATTCCACTTTGTCGTAACGGTTAGATATTTTCAAATGAGCAGATCCCCGGAATGAATATGAGTTTTGGACTCGTACTAAAAACTGCACAGGCACAAGATAAAAAATATATACTTTCATTGGAAGCAGCGTTTATCTTTACGGATTTTCGACATAATATTCAATTTAACCAACTTAGTTGCGTAATAAAACTGGCAACTACAGTTGTCGTCGGAACCTCAAGTTAGGATGAGAATATCCCGGCAGGCTGAGTTCCGAAAACATTGGATAATTAATTATCTTTGTTTCTATCAGTTGGAGCGAATAATAACAGGATATGGGTAGTTAATGTTAACTTTCTGTTTCGTTGCGAAAATCGAGATTTCAATGTAGTATACTTTGCGATATGTGACCACAATGTCAGTGCATTGGCATGTTGTAGATCAGAACGAGGAAAAGGGAAGAAATGATGTTTCAGCTGTTCAAATCGTTTGCGCAAAAGTACCGGGCGGTTATATATTGCTTTAATTGTCAATCGCTCAGTGCAGCATTATTTCTCACAGACGATTCAAATGCCGCAATAAATACTTACCATGCTAAATCTAAAGTCTAAATTTCTCATGTATAGTATACCACATGTCATGAAATAAATTATGACAGCACTCGTTCTGCTTTTGTTCTGTAATTGACGACATTGTAAACTGCCGCATTGCGAATTCTATGCAAACTAAGTTCTTTATTATTCTTGTCGGATAACTCATCCATATTAGCGTTTCTAATCGCAGATGCCGGTTTTTCCTTCCAGCAGGTAAGGCGATTGTCTTCTGTTTTCCTTGTCGATATGTTATTGTATTTAAAAAAATCCACATTACACAAAAATAGAGTGTTCTAGCGAGAGAGCAAAATCTTTAAAAAAATACACAAAATTTAGGTAAACGAGGCTTGGGCCAGAAATTGACAAAAAAAGATACGCGAATGTACTGAACTTCGGGCTGTTATACTCTTTGAATCCCAAACTAATAATGACCAATTCAATCTGACACAGTAGGATTGGATAGGATTTACATATTTATCTGGGTGGAGAGGAAAGCCGATAAGACGGCTTCCCCATACGGCGAACCACGGCCTCTCGTCCGGTTACCATTTCATGTCGGTAATGGGATTAGCGAGATATTTGTTTTCGGAAGCATGGACTTGATGGTAGAGGAAGCCGTAATTGACCAGCGGTTACGTGAACCACCCTACGGTAGCGAGGAGTCCAGCAATCCTCTCGCACATAACCATCCCTGCATGGGATTCGAACATGCGAACCCACGCTTAGCACGATGGGCCACACCGCCGTGCCAGTAAATGCCCTGAAAGGATTGAAATATGAAGTTCAATTTCCTTAGTACACTGATACAGCAATATACAGATATATGTTGTTAATAAAAGTAATGCTTATTTTGCCCCATCCCTCAGTGATATTGCGTTGAACCGAAGATATTTGCCATCAAATGTAAACTTAACGGATAATATTTTCCAATTCTCAAAAAAATCACAATATGATCATTCACTGTACAGTCCACAGTTTGAATATCAGCATCCCAGTATTATTAACAAAGTAAACAATAACATATGGATGAACATCTTTTGGCGCTCCGGAAGTATTCGTACCAAGAGGACACACAACCTGCTGAATAACCCTAACCTGGTACACATGCTATGTTCAGATTGTGCGCCATCTTGGTACGAATACTTCGAAGGCACCTATATTTTAGAAAAATAAATTGCGTGTCAGTATTTTCGAAGTATTGTTCATACCAGGGTGGTCCAAGGTTGACGGCCTCGCGGGCCACACTATTATTTTTGTATTGTTCGCGGGCCAAGAATAGGTAAACAGTGTAATACAAAATAAACACGTTTATTGTCCAAACACATGATCAATATTTGTCATTTATCAAGCTAAAACATGCAAAAACCACTAAAAAACTCATTAAAACGTGCAAAAATCTTACTAAATCTACATTCACTACAGAAGGTGTCATAAGGAGAAATTGCCGTTTCAGAATCTCATCGACACAACTTTCAGAGATATCAAGCAAGCGGTATTTCCCCTCCCTATATCCAGTCAGAAATTTGTTTGAATTGGTCAGCTTGTTATTCAAACACATTTTCACAGAATAACTTAGAAATAACTGCAAATTGATTGATTGCCGAATTTTATCAAATTTGGGAGGGTAATTAGTAATTACTAAATTTTCTCACTTATAGGCAGCATTTCGTGTAATACCGTTTAGGCTGGTTGCAAATAACCATCCGGCAGGAATTATATTCTTGGCTATAACATTACTATTTAGCTATCAGGCATATCCGACCTAGTCTAATCGATTCCTCATTCGATTTTTAGTTTACTCTGAAGCCTACTTTGTTAGCAGATAGTTCCGACCAAAAAGATAGAAAGCCAATAAATAATTTAGATTAGCCAAGCACATTATTCAACTTTGCCAGTTGCCTCAGCTAACCATGACAGTAATCAGTGACACTAGTGATGTATAACAATATGCCAAAAGATTTTTCTGGTTCTTTTTATGGCGAAACAACACCAAATGCAATTTTTTAATTAAATTCCCGCAAATGCGACGCGGGCCACAGATAATGAAACGGCGGGCCACTTGTGGCCGCGGGCTTGGGTTTGGACCACCCAGGTCTATACTTTAAATTTAATTCCATAACCAGACATTTCTGACTGTGATCACCATAAGCTGAATGGCCACATGTCCTGTACAGTCGTTAAATTTGTGTATGTTGTTTCCTTCAATGAATCATCATTCGCAACTTGCCGTTAATTTTTCGATTCTCTTTACATTTTGTGAATGTTCTGTTTTATACTGCAGTCGGTATTGATCATCGGTCAACACCTATTTAAGTTTCATGATTTATTTCAGTTCTACAGTTGGATCGGGTGTCTTACTCGACTACTAATTAAAATACAAAAGTTCTTTATTGTTCTCGTAGATATCTCATAAATCATGGTACGCCTGTACAAAACATTCATAGATATTATCCCACGAAGTATGATCAAATTGTATCAAGCATTTATATATATGCCTTATTGACATTGTGTGGTACATTGTGTTGATACACTGCTGTATATGTTGTGACCGAATTCAAACAGTAATAAATACTACCGGTTCGGTGTGTTGCATAACCTTGCTAGTTGGCGTCAGTTGTCACCACTTACACTCATACTGCGACCCTTGCCTGCCTGAGATTTCGGCCTGAGCTGCGTAAAGCTAGCTTGATAGCACAAGACTCCTTAAAATGGTCGTATGTCGGTCGTTTACATGTTTCGCATACCAGTTTGATAATGCACGGTGACGATGGTGTGTATATTTAACACGACACGAATTTTGTGCACTTCAGAAAATATAAAACCTGAAAAAATTGACAGGAAAACAAATGCACGATAATTACACGTCAACGCCGAAACGCCATGTTTAGGTTAGGTCAGTCATAACAAAGGTGTTGTCGACAAATACGACGTTGCAAGTCACGGGCGGCACAATAAGAATTTTATATCAGTTATAAAGGGTGACCGTACATTTGAACCCATGTACATTTGAACCCATGCGTATATCCACGGGTTCAATCTATATGCGGGTGCTTAAACCCATGGGTTAGGGTTAGTATGGGTTTAACTATCCGTGAAACAAAAAAAATTCCATAGGTGCAATAGCATACAGGTGCAATTGTCATGGGTTCAAATGTACGTGGGTTCAAATGTAATGGAACCGTTATAAAGATATGAGCTCTAGTCTATAACATAACGCACATCGGCTATGTATTTTATTAAAATATAATCTTTGCATCAAATATTCTCTCGCGGACAGGTATATTTATATACATTTACTACAGTCAGTTTTGGAGCGGTGATTTTCTTTAAATATTACAATATTATACATACCCTATGAGACATGCATTTTCGCAATGACTTCTTAAATCTATCGACGCGTTTCCCTCCCGTCTGAAACTTTGACGCTGCAATAAAATACCAACTTCGCTATAGCTTCCGCCTCTTCTCGGGTTCCATCAAATTTATTGAAGCTGTTAAAAATTCTCGTAGTACCGGAAATTTTACATTATCCTCCCAGCCCCATACACTTCCTCAAAATAGCCAAATTATGAAAATATTCACCGATCTACGCTTGAAAAAGTTTTTTTTATTTTGCTAACAATTGGCAGATACAGTCATTAATTGTACACAAACTGTGCATATGTAATGATATAAATAAAAGCTTGTCAAAACATAAATGAATAAAAAGCAGTTATTAATCTCGAAGCGGTTCAAAAAGCTTGATCACTGTTCATAGTTTCGATGTTGATGCTCTGGAAGTACTCCACCAAGTTTCTCAACACCGATTCCAGCAATAAAGAACAAAAAGAAGGCAGTGGTAAAACATCCGATTGCATAAATATAAACGACTCTATAAGTTCCATAGACATCCACAATGTGACCTGTTGAAAATAAATTTATTGGTGACTCTTGCTCTCATTGAGGTTTGCAATGGCCATATTGTGAGACTCATGCGAGAACTCCGAAGACAGATTGTGAACATATACAAAAGAACATATGAATGTGTTGGCAGATTTAATCGTTTGGTCAAGATTTCAAATACGGTATTGGGTTAGTCAGAAGGGCCACTTGTATTGGTAAATTATAAATCCGACTCGGGTTGTGAAGGATAAATTTTGGAGTACCTTCGTGGTTCAAATTTTTTCAATACCAAACGTGAGCCCGCCTATACATCATGCACTTCTTCGACTCGTTCACATTTTGCATTTCATTTTTATTCAATATGAAAGCGCTCGATTAGGTTGCAATACTATTCTTGGAGATGTGTCTCTCCTTGACTTCAAATTTTAAAAAACAATAACTTGCCTGCAATAGGTGGACCGATGAAACATGATATTCCATTAAGCACCAACTGAATTCCTATGTATTTGGTTACATTTTTTACACCAAGAAGAACAGGAATAGCAGTTGTTTTAGTTGTTGTATAAGCCCCGCATAATCCTCCGTGTAACAGAGCGAAAACAATTAGACTGGCAGGCATTGTTGCAAATACCGCCAAAGCACATGCTGCTATCTGCAAAACTGAAATCGCGGCCAGAACAAATAGTATCCGCTTTTCGAGAACCCGACACAACGACAATAAAACAGACACAGAAATTACACCCACAATGTCTCCTACTGCATCCACTGATAAGATTACAGCAGCCTGTTCTTCAGATGTTCCCATCTCCTCAGCGAACGGAACAACAAACAATATAGGAAGATAATGCCACGCCCCGCTTACAAATTCTGCAAACGCAAGAAGAGATAAAATCCAATAATTTTTTATCATATTTAGCAATCGATATATTCCGCGTTCATCCGTTTTTTTTGGTTTTTCTATTTCTTGTGAAGGCGTTTGTTCCACTATTGATGTTACATCGTCTTTATTACCATCGCCTGTGTAAGATTTGTCCGCATAATGCAAATGTTCGTATTTAGGCATTTGTGACGAAACTACTGCGCTGATAGGTCTGACAAGAGATGCGAAAACGCATATGTTCAACGAGATGCCGGCCCAAATGCATAGTGCTCCTCTCCATCCATACGAATGCATCAAATATCGTGTAAAAATCGGCATAACCACGCTGCCAATGGAACATCCACAACAAGCTACTCCGTTTGCAAGAGCCCTCCAGCGGGAGAAATATATATTGATTTGAGCAACAATAGAAATGTATGACGCAGTGAAACCAGCACCTATATTAGGAATAAAAGCAAAATAAAACCTTTGAATTTGGAATTTATGCAATTTTAATTTTATCCAATTGTTTCATTCCTTTTTATTTTTGAAGATTAGCTGGTGTAAATTGAGTTATACACATGGACAGATATTTTGAAAAGGTGTTTCGTTCTGAAATTGTAGTAGTTTATACTCGTAGCAGTCGTGAATAACTTCAATCGCAAAACTGTCTTTAAATTAAGATATGAATTATGAACCCTGGCAAATGAACATTGGGTCCAATAGTTACTAATTAGAACCTTATCAATAGTTTAACTCTGCAAAATTTCTTTCGTATATATGTAACAACGTACCCCACAATATTCCTACTCCAACGTACGTCATCCATATGTTTAAAGCAAGTGCGGATAATAACAGTCCAATGCAACAAGAAATTCCAGGAGCAAATATAATTTTCCTTGCACCCAATTTTGGCGTAAGTGCAGCAACGAATGGAGCTGAAATAATTGAATTACAAATTTTAATACTTAAATTGTGACATTCCAATAAATAAGTTTATTCGGGATTGTTTCATGTCTCCGTTAATACTTGATGCCCGCGTTATTTCAGGCTAACACGTGGATCCTGTTCGTTGTGGTCTCCACAGCTTTTGACATTTTATGGTCGACGTAACTTCGTTTACATCGTCTTCATTTCTGAGTGAGTGCACGTGACCTTGTTTCCAGCTAATTTCGATGTACGATCCAGAAAGCCGGTTCTTAAAGATGCTGAATACCACGTCAATCGCCAACCCGTTACAATCCACGCGAAATTACTGCAGTGACCGGTCACCGTAATTGCCAGGTCATTTGGGCGCTGATCGTCTCGTCGGCATTATTGCATGGTTGTGGATATTAATGCTGTGGCTTTTTCGCTGCTGTCGTGGAAACGAAATATCGCTCCAGACTTTCAATGAAACTCAGGTGACAAGATACCTCACATTATAAATTTCATTAAAATTGGTCCAACCGTTACAGCTAGACAGACTGACAAATACACAGAAAGACTAAAAATTAGGGTCTTCTCTACGAAGCGGGAATCATCCAATTTTATTTATAAAAATCGCGCATATCCACGAGCCTCAGTAAACAGTATGTACGAGAATATTTGAATATGGTTTGACGCAGAACTTGGTGAATTTTTATCATATGTACGTACCTACAACGATGTCCATGCCCATTGCTATCGAAGATACCAAGGAAGTCTGAGTATTATTTGTACCAAATTCGTCCATGAAGTAAATGAAGAATAATCCAAAACTGTGCAGGAAAGATTCGGTGATAGCTTGAATGCAGAAATCCGATACGAGAACTGCCCAGGCCCACCCTCCATCTGGCGATTTGTGATACAACGTGTTCCCTCTTATAGTTTTTACAATTAGCACCATTTTTGGCCACTTTTCCTTGTGCTTTGGCAACTTTACGAAATCCCGAATCGACCAATGTACTTGAATACTAGTATCTGTAGTTATTTCTTAATGCTATATAAATCTCATTGTGACAAAATTCCAATCACCGAGGACTGTTTGGTATCCATGTCTATAACTATAACTTTTCTACTTCTTTGTTAATCGTTAATTTTTTATGACTGCAGTCACGCTAGTTGTTATATCAGCTGAACCAATTACCAACGAATGCAACAAGTAACCTTAACCTCCCCGGGATAAATATGTAAATCCTATCCTATCCTGGCCTTAAATAGAAGAATATTTATGCGAAAGATATTGACTCAAAAAAGTTATTTCAAACTTATCAATGTAACAAACGTTGTGAAACGGTAATAATATATCAACAAAACTAATTGCTGGTTATTTATTTACTATCAGCAGAAAACGCAGCAGCAGCATTTAATCTTCCATGATTACCATTTTATTCAGGATAAAGCAACGCTTAATTCAAATTACTCCCCTTTTTTAAACGTTGCATCACTTTTGCACTATGCCGTAACACCCGACCAAGTTTAAATACATTTTCGTGATTCGATCGCCGCGGTGGAGATGACGGAGTCAAAATTTTCAAATTTGCAATACCAACTCGGGAGCTTATGAGTAAAATAAAGAACTGTATGTATCAACGGATAATTTGAGTAAAGAGATATCATTATTAAATACGTATGCAAGTATCAGGGGGATATTTCAAGAACGTATTTTGCCTACAATAAGCGGTAAGTCAATATTCAATATCTTCTTAACACAATGCATAGTATTGGAATATACATCAGCTAAACTAAATACCGTTCACTCCGGAAACACTACACAGACCATGGGTAGTCAACAGATACTTAAACAGTCAACATCTATAATATGATTGCATACTTCACTAAAGTATTTTATCAACCGCAATACATTTTCGTAGCAAGACATTTTCGTAGTACTATGATTATTCTGTTATGCTTCCTGTAGTGCAATATTATCTCGTCACCCTCTATGCGTAACCAAAGGCGCACCTGTTAGCTGCATGGCTTTTTCCCGGTGATTATTTGTCGAAAGCCGAGTTTAAATGACTTGTACCTCAGCTTTACCTCCTCGCTGTGTTATCGTAGCAACTCTGTACGTTGTAATTTATTCAGTATGTAATTTTCTTTGTGTCTGTAGGTTAAAAAGGCTCGGTCATGCACTAGTGACTCTAACTCTTTGAGTCTCTCTGTGCGTGTTGTTCGGCGGACATTCTATGTATGGAATACATAGATATGATGAATGATGCAAACGTATATAAAAAAGGGTGATGCAAAACTTTCGTATGTAAATTATACGCAGTATACATACTCGTTCGAAATGTAGCTCAATTTCGCAATACTCAGCACCGGTTCCCGTACATTTGAACCCACGACCATTGCACCTGCATATATTGCACCTGTGGATTTTTTTTGTTTTGCGGATATTTGAACCCATACTAACCCTAACTCATGGGTTTTAGCCCCCGTATCTAGATTGAACCCGCGGATATACACATGGGTTCAAATGTACGGTCACCATCAGCAACTAGTGTTTGTCTGGGGTGGCCAACGTGTCGATAGCTATCAACCGGTCGATTGCCACATCTTCAATGGCTGATCGAGTTTGATGTTGACTGAACTTAACTGCATGACTAAGTGCAATATGCGTTAACGGTTAACCAATACTCAGACAGCGCTTGTTTTTTGTTCTGAGGATATGACCTGACATACGCCTCTATGTCTGTTTTAATGTCTCTGCCATTGGTTTGGACATATATGTTCCAATTTACTCATAACTTCTGCAGCAAACCGAAATTTTTGTCTACTTTGGTGTGTAAAAATACTATATTCGTGAAGTAGCTAAAATCGCCATTTAAGTTATATATATTAATACTGACCGATCACATACACCAGGAAAATTCTGCATTGCCGCAATCTAATGGATCAATTCCTTACCATTATCTGTAACTTTCTTTTTTGAGTTTGATGTATCGATACAAAGTACGATAAACTCTGTTAGTGTCAAGTACCGTATATATGACACCTTCACCCCCACATCGTTACTACTTGTCCCGCTATTCGGAATTACTGGTAACTTTATAGCAATGGTTTAATGTCGTAATTGCATGACGCTGAAGGAGAAGTCGTCGAATTAGTTACACAATTTATAACTCTCTTTTTGTGCCAAGATTGAAAAGCTGAAGAAAAACACGTTTTAGGTCCTAAACAAGTCCAGTACTAGAATCAGTGGAGTTGACAACAATTGCCTCTTTGTGATCATTTCTCAATGTTTCGATGTTGATGTTCTGGAATGGCTCCACCGAGTTTCTCAACACCAATTCCGGCAACGACGAACAAAACGAAAGCGGTGATAAAACATCCGATTGCATAAAAATAAGCGACTCTATAAGTTCCATAGATATCCACAAGATGACCTGTTAAATTAGTAGAGTGGTGACTCTTCAAACAACGATTAGAGATAGACCTAAACTATCAAGGTAATATTTAGGGAAGCGGTTCCCAAACTTTTTGTTCGTGCGGTGCCAAATCATCAAGTAAAAAACTCATGGCGCACTTACACGAAAAAGATAGCACGTAACAGAAAGTAAACGACATAGAAAGGTAAAATGAACAACAACATTCAGAATGAGAAAAAGAAAACATTTATATTAAATACAATATATATATATGTAAAAAATTTAGTCATATATTAGGTCTGTTTAACACGATTCTATCAAGTTTCGGGGCGCAGTTAGCAAACCGCCTCCTTTTGGCGCCGGTAATTTAGGGTATATATAAGTCAAATCGCTAATGCAAAGCATACATCTGCATTTCATTGTCATCAAAAAAGATCTCTGATTTGTATTATTTATAGTTAGAAGCAGTATATATGAATTATTAAATTAATCGGCATGGAATATTCAATCGCGGGGAAAATTACATATATATTCGCTGATTGAAACAATTCTTAGCTTAAAAGTTGATTTTCTGTTATTATGTGTACTTGCCTGCAATAGGTGGGCCGACAAAACAGGATATTCCACTCAACGCCCATTGCCACCCTATGAATTTCGTTACATTTTCTACGCCGAGAAGAACGGGAATCGCAGTTGTTTTGGTTGTTATATATGACCCACATAATCCTCCGTGTAACAGCGTAAAGGCTAGCAAACTTGCAGAAGTTGCTGCAGATGCAGCCAACGAGCATACTGCTATTTGTAGTAGTGACATTGCGGCTAGAACAAATAGTATTCGCTTTTCCAGACCCCGACACAGCGACAATAGGACAGACACAGAAATTACACCCACAATATCTCCTACTGCAGCCATTGATAAGATGACAGCAGCCTGCTTCTCAGGTATTCCCAGCTCCTTTGCAAAAGGGACAACAAACAATAGGGGAAGAAAATACCACAAGCCACTTACAAATTCCGAGAGCGCCAAAATAAATAGAATCCAATAATTTTTTACGACCTTGAATATTCGATTGATTCTTCTTCCACCGATTTGATCCTCACGCGCTAGTTCTTGTGGGCGATCTTGTTCTACTTGGCATGAGACATCGTCTTCATTTTCATCGTCTGCACAAGACTTGTCCGCATATTGCAAATGTTTGTAATTTGACATCTGTGATGCTTCCACTGCGCTGATAGGTCTCACAAGAGATGCAAATACGCATACATTCAACGAAATGCCGGCACAAATCCATAGTGCTCCTCTCCATCCATACGAATGGAGCAAATATTGTATAAAAACTGGCATCACCATAGAACCACTTGCGCATCCACAACAAGCTACTCCGTTTGCAAGAGCCCTCCAGCGGGCGAAATATATGTTGATTTGAGCCACAATAGAAATGTACGTCGCGGTAAAACCTGTCCCTATTATTAATTTTGAAAAAAAAGGGAATATTATTTGAATCAAGTCCAGTATTCAACACGGATTCAAAATTTGGCTGTAAATTTCATATATATATATATATATATACATGTGATTCCTTGCGATCTAAAATATCTTTAGAAGATATTCAAAACTTGTCTAGGCGGCGTGGCGTATCGTGCTAAGCGTCGTGCACCGCTGATTACACTGCGTGGGTTCACAGTTTCGAATCCCGATAATTCGTGCGAGAGGATTGTTTCTGGACTCCTTGCCGCCGTAGGATGGGTGATTCACTCAATCGCAATCGCTGTCCAATTACGGCTTCCTCCACCATCGAGTCCATGCATCCAAAACAAATAATCGGCAAACTATTCCTATACCCGATATCGACTGGTAACTGGACGAGAGGCCGGGGTTTGCAACATGATTAAGTCGACTTATTGGCTTTCCTCTCCCTCAGAATAAATATGTGCAATTGAAGAACTCACCCCATAAAACTCCTATTCCCGCGTATGTCATCCATATGTTTGAAGCGAGTGCAGATAGTAACAATCCCATGCAACACAAAATTCCAGATCCAAATATAATTTTTCTAGCGCCCAATTTCGGCGTCAGCGCGCTAACAAATGGCGCTGAAATAAGGGTACAGTCGAAATCCATACACCTTAGTAGGCTACTTTTTAGATATAAATTTCATTGAAGTACTAATTTAAGCGGAGGTGCTACTACTACTGCGTGAGAACCTACGAGCAGCTAATTTGAAGCATAGGGTTTGTAAGTAAATCAGATTTGATGACACGTATACCAGCAAACACACTTGTTGGCCGCAACGAAACAGAAATAATGTTCTGGATTGCAGTAGCCAAGTAGCCTAATTTTCTATGAATGACCTTGGCCCTTTGGCACAAAGGACTACACTTGGGCAATTTTCATGGGTTCAATCAATCAGTTTGGTATATCTGGTCAAATTTTCGCCAACATAAAACCATTGTCCCATTTTCATCGACGTATCGTATATCGCCGTGCTCGAACTACATATAAAATATTTGTTCCAACAAAGGCGTTTAGTAAATATCAGTCATCTGTGACCTTTAGCCATAAATACGGAAGCGATATCCACGTACCTGCAATTATGTCCATACCCATTGCTATTGAAGATATAAAAGAAGTCTGGCTGTTATTTGTCCCAAATTCTTCCATAAAGTAAATAAAAAATAATCCGAAACTTTGCAGGAAAGACACGGTGATAGCTTGAATGAAGAAATCCGACACGAGCACTGCCCAAGCCCACCCCCCATCTGGCGATCTGTGATACAGCGTGTTCCCCCTTATAGTTTTTACAATTAGCACCATTTTCGATGACTTTTCCCTGTATTTTATTCGGCAACTAACACGAAAGCTATGATTTAGATAGATGCCTAAATGCAATACATTAGTAATAGCATTAGTTAATAATTATCCTTAGCCGCCGACAGGCTGTGGTGGGATTCCGGGGGTCACACGGGTTCGCGCGATCCCCATTTTTTAGAATGCAGCGATATCAGCGAACCGTTCTTGTGTTTTTTTAGACGTTAGACGGCCGCAACAAATGGGAAATGTGCACCACAGAAAACAACAACAAATTTGCAAGAAATTTTAATTCGGCGTTATATATTAGGTGTTTCGTTTCTTAATTGCTATCTGCTCAGAATAGAAACTCGTATACAACTGAACTCCGTTTATTGAGAACAGCGGCACAACTTAAACAATACAACAAAACAGCGGGAGTATCCAATTTTTAATCCCATCGCTGGCAGTTGGTCTAAGAATCTAATCAATGTAAACTATTTGCCATTACTGCGCAATTCATTCCCCTTTCTCCTGAATTTTTCTTTCCCAATTGAAAACAGGAATCGAAACAGATTTGAAATTATATACTTATCATAAAATGATTCAATTTTTAATTTTTTTTTCATCTCAGAATATGAGCACATCAATATCAAAATTGAATTAATACAGCAATCCGAGATAGAACCAATATAAAAGCACGAAATACCATTTTCAAAATTATAAAATATTGTGAAAATGATTATGTAGAGCTAACAAGAAATTTAGTCGATTGCACGCACAGTCGTACGCCAAGATACTTATTTCTCTCACTCAATCCCCTACCATACAAAATTTGCTGTTTTTTTTTTCGACCCAAAATCCATGTACCCAATTAAGTTGCCCAAGTACTTTGTAGCGCAACGGTAGATACAAATAATACTGTTCTATATAAAAGTTTTGAAATATTCAAATAGTTTAATTCCCAGAATTCAATGTCCATTCTAGTAGTCTTCGTCGTCCATACATAAATGTTATAATAAGCTCCACACAAAAATGCAGTCAAAATCCATCCTTGACTACCGATTTCTCTGTCGAGGAAGAACTGCTCCAAGTTTTTGAACGCCCATTCCACTAATCAGAAGCAAAACAACAGACAGCAAAAACGAAAATAAGGCAAACCAATATGCCGCTCTATAAGTTCCATAGATGTCGACCAGATGCCCTGTAGATGAAAACGAACTGAATTGATTCGAATAAAAAATGGATGTACATTCAATTTTTTTTTTAATATTAATACAAAAAATATAAAGCACTTTTTAAATTAGCATTTCGTGCTGAACTTGAGAAAATATATCACTCATATATATTGCAAAAACCTATTAACTATTCTAAAAGCCCACACACTAAACCACGTGACTTTTACACTTCGCTATTATTAAATGTATAAAATTATTTAATAGATAAAATACTTTTAACAAAATGCGAGAGCTATGATTCTAAAGGAATACTGTTAAATCTGATGCAAAAAAAAATGTACGTAACTCTAATTAAAAATTCTTATGCTATTTCTTCAAATTAATTATGCTTATTTGCACAACTGGTATGGTTACCAACCTGCGACTGGAGGACCAATGAGGCACGACACGCCGCTGATGGCCCACTGAGGACCAATAAATTTGACAAAATCCTCCACCCCAAAAAGTGTTGCTGTTGTTGCTGTCTTCGCAGTGATAAAGAATCCAAACAGACCGCCATGGATCGTTGCATATGTTAGTATACCTTTGAAGTCATTGGCAAATATTGCTATAAAACACGCACCGACCTGAGCAAGTGTAATTAATGCTAAAAAGTACAATATATTCCTTTCCAGCACTCTATGCCACGACAGTAAGACCCCACAGGTAACTCTGCATATAATATCTGCAACAGCGGCCACTGACAAAATTATGGCAGCTTGCTCTGACGAACATCTAAGCTCCTTTGCAAACGGCACAGCAAACATGAGTGGAAAAAAATACCATAGACCAAACGCAAATTCTGTAAGTGCCAAAATAAATAAAAGCCAGTAATTTTTTAAATAATAAAAAATTCTGTCCTGTCCGTTTTTTCCTGAATTGAGTTGTATGGCTTCTTGACTTTTACTCTGCTCATAACAAGAGGATTCCTCGGAAGAAGTCTCTGTTACTTCATCCTCCATTTTAATTGGTTTATCAGCATATTGCACGTTTTTGTACTCAGTCATCTGCATTGCATTTATGACACTGATGGGTCTGACAAGTGTAGCACACACACAGACATTTAAAGCCACTCCTGCGCATAACCACATGCTGCCTCGCCACCCATATGCGGACAAAAGATGTTGAGCCAAAACTGGCATCAGCATTGACCCGCAAGCACTGCCACAAGTCGCTACTCCGTTAGCAATTCCTCTCCATCGAGTAAAATAAATGTTGACTTGTGCTGTGATACAGATATATGAAACGGTGAATCCCGCCCCTATAAAATAAAATGTGTAATTAGACTCAATGATTATACTAGATAAAGAAACACAAAAACTGTTGCGAAAGATGCATCTAATTTCATGAAAGGTACTAGGATATTGTGTACATTTGAAACCGTACAGATGGGATAACCAACAATCCACCCATATTAGTTACCTTAGGCTTAGCCTTAGAGTCTTTAGACAGACAATAGGATACAACCAAATATCAGATCATGTAAAAATATCATTTTTACATTTTTATTGTTGTAATTGTACCCGACAATTGTTGTGATCTTTACAGTTACCGGTATATCTCGTTTTGTATGAAAAAGACGCGGGGTTCGACTATGGTCGAACGAAGGCTTACAAATATACTTTTTATTTCGTGAAAAGAGATTTTGTTATTCTAATTTTATTCTCGCGATAAATAAACACTAATCCATTAATCAAGACATTTGTTGGCGGTATTCATTTTGCATCCTTCACTCACGTATTCAGTCAATTTTCAAATTCTTGTTCCAGATTGAATGGGCGAATAATTTGAGGGGAAGCACAAAATTAAAAAAAAAAATGGCAACATTGTTACAATAAAAAGAAATTAGTGGCGCCTGAATTTATTCAACTTTTATTATCAACGCAAATTAGATTTAAATCACAATTAGGTCCCGTGATTGATGGGTCAGTTTCTGCCAGTGTTACTATTACTTCGTTATAGAAATGAATATATCAATATCTCTGATCGATTTCATTCAGAAACAAGAGAGCAATCCTGAAAATATATGGACACGAAGTATCTTTCCGTACCTAGTCTACATTCACAGTGCATTACGAAAAACTTCCGACTTTCGCGTAGCACTATTTCGCAAAATCAAAATGGAAGACAACTTGGCGGAATAAAAACCGTGTTCCCGTGAATATAAATTAAACAGCAAAATTTTGGGTGAAATATCAGATCTCATAGGATTAATAGAAAATTCAATCACGAATAAATAGCCTCCTAGCGACAACAACAATCTTTAATCAACGAAAATTTAAAAGTAATTGGTCAGTAACTAAAAAGAAAGGCGATTTTTCCGGTACTCCCAAAGTATGTGTACCAGGTTAGACCATAATTTTATCCCAATTTTAGTTCTATTACGAGTTCGGGACCTTGCCAAGTGACTCCCATAGTATTTGTACCTGAAATTATGGCCTAACACTAACCTGGTACACATACTGTACGTTCCGGTGTCCGGCATCTTGGTTCACATACTTCGGGAGTACCATTTTTTCCACAACAAAAAATACTAACAAGATGAATAATAATAATTACGAAACGATCCCTATGTATACTTCTTGTCCAACAATAAGAAATTGTTACCCCATAAGACTCCAATTCCAATGTACGCCATACATATATTAGATCCGATAGCTGACAAAATCAATCCAAAGCAACAGAAAACGCCAGATAACATGATCATCTTCCTCGCGCCAAATTTCAGCATCAATATACCAATGAATGGGGCTGAAAAATAATATAATTTGTCAATTCAACAATTCCAGAGCGGAATATGCATGGGTGTACAAAGCAAAACTTTTCTGCTGTCCGGGGCGAGTTTCTGGCAATGCTGGCTCTTGTACCTAACTTCAAAACTAATTCGAAAAATAAACAATTATAGATGTTGCAACATGAGAATAAATAATTTAAAGGTTAAGTAAGAATGAAATGTTTATATTATTATTATTATTTGAATCATCAAACTATGCAACAAACTCACCCCTACAGCGTGCTGTGATTATAGGTGAATATATCTAGGGAATGCATTCGTCAGTGACAAATATTTGGCTTCAACTACACGGCTGTTTGTCAATTTTTTAGATTTGTCGTTTTACGTTTTGCTCCCGTAGTATGTGCACCACGATGGCGCCCAACCTAATAACCCTAACCTGGTACACATACTATGTTCAGGTTGTGCGCCATCTTGGTGCATTTTATGGGAGCACCTAATTATGCTCTATTGAGGTATTCAAAAACAAATTTTGACTGTATTTTCTCTAGATGAACACAAACTAAACGGAAAGTGCATGTAGGCAACTTTGTATCATACATAACAGTTTTCAATTTCAAGTCATCAATTTTACTATGAAATGAGTGCTGCGTGCAAAATAGTCTACGGATATTGAAAACCGCTTGCAGCATCGTTGCTTCAGGTTCTAAAGTTTATACTTCGGAGTAGAATATTATTTAATTGATCTAGTTCTAAACGACCGTAATAAGAGAACGAATATCGGGTGAAAAAGAGATACGAACCTACTATTCCATCCATTGCTGATGCTATCGAAGATATAAATGAAGTTTGACTGTTCGTCGTTTCAAATTCATCCATGAAATAATTGTGAAACATTCCCAGGCTTCTTATGAAAGATACAGTGATAGCTTGTATACAAAAAGCTGAGGCGAGGACAACCCATGCCCATCCTCCATCGGGAGAATTATGATACAATGTATTTCCATGGAGTGTCTTTACAATTAAGACCATAATCCACTCGAAGATCCGTTTTTAGGCGGTTTTAGTTATGAAATGATTCTCGTCGAAATTCACATCTATGTTAAATATCTGACTCTCTGCGAAGTAGCCTATCTAAGCTCAAATTACGAATTCATTTGTTTTACAAAAAAGTGAGACATATTCATTTATTTATTCATTGTTCCAATTTAAACATGAAATATTCAACTTTAAAACCTGCAAATAATTCTATGTTAATTTACTGAAGCGCGGATTGCTTGCAGATCATTTCCGCTGTATTTATTCATCCGCGTTTATTCCAAAAACTGAATATTTGCCCATCTTCTTTATTGAAGTGTTAATCAGTTGGTTTGTATATAAGTTGTGTTTATGTGCGAACCCCTGCAGCTGCCAACATTCGAACAGCGCTGATTAGCGTGAGTATGATACAATTTCACGTCCTATTGTTTTGCAATCATGGGTAATGTATCATGTATCCCCTTTCAGATACAAGTTTAAAAAAATTGTCTCCCAAGGACTTTTTCCCGCGTTGATATTTTTACGGTCATTGAGACTGATTTGGGTCAATGATCTGACCCTGACGCTTTCACTGTCCTGACTGAAAACACCTTTCAATCTAACTGTAACTACACGGAAACGGCATTGTCTGCTACTTTGCAAGTAAGAAAGTTTTGCTGGTCGGTATCAGTACATACACGACACGCATGTTGCCGCATTTGTGAGCCGTATACTTGTTGTTTACCAGTTAAAGATTAACTACGTTATACCCGGAGACAAAAGCGGGAATCAACTCGCGGAGCAAGCACAAATGACATTTAAGTTTGAAATCAGAGAGCCAAGACTTCAATTACCATTCATAAGTGTTTATTTAACAAAATTAAGTGTACGTATTCTGTTTATATGGGTTAATACATCAGTGTATTTGCCTGAGGCAAATATCATTATAACACATCTGGTAGGTGCTATTAACCTACGACCAAACTCAAATAAAAATAAGGTGCGCAATATTTGATGACGTAATGACACAACAAAAACGAATCCCAAAAAGCCCGGAATTTTGTCACAACAATAAGAAGAAAATTACCAACAAAAAAAAACAACATAATATTCACAAAGCGATTCATAGGTTCACCTCGTGTCTAAAAAAAACTAAACAAGTTTTCCAGGAGAGGCGTTGAACCTGATAGTGCATTACACATACTGGTTTACACAGCGGGTATCACTCTACGAAAGAGTTCTTTGGGTGCCAGAAGCAAAGGTGTTTACTGGATACCATTAGCGATGACTATATTCATTTGAAGTTAAATGACTGCGCATTGACTGTAATGCATCTCATCCATTTACTTTAGTTTATTAGCTTTTTATTAATAAACGTGGGGAATGAAATATTTGGAGGAAACTGATTGAAAGCTAACTACGTATTCTTGATGAAAATAATAATAAAAATGTTATTTTTCTGTGTAAAAAAAGGCATTGAAAAGTTGTTTAAAGCAGATAACTGCTTATGACTGAAGCGCGTAAACATAAGTTGCAAACTATAAATCATGACAAAGCGACCTCTCGACATCTTCAAAGATGGTAGGTAAGGCTTAACCTTACAGCTGTATGCTAAAGGTCTGCAAATGGTTGATTTATCGCATTTCATAAACAAAATCACTGCTGAGGATGCCACTGCAGGTGCCGCACGCTTCTCCTTCAACAGTCCATTTTATGGCCAGTACTCCCAACCGTCTAATTCCACGTTGATCCAATCCAATTTTATAGACTATGAACATTTTGCATCCTGGCTACTTATTCAACCGAATTAAAACTAAAATAAATCATATTATTCTACTCTACTCCGGAAGAAATAGGTAGCCTTGTCAATATTTAGAAACGCTTCAATATTACGTTATATTTTAATGATAAACACTCAGCACCACTGAACTTGTTTTCCGTTTCTTCCTGACTCACCGTGTTACGATATTGCGGTATATCATTACGCGACAGCTGATTCCGATAGCATGTGATTATAAGCCACCTGCCAAATAATATATTTGGTATATCATATTCGTGAATAATGAAAGAAAAGCTATCTTGTTCTCTCGCTTGCTCACTACGTATAGTGTTATTGATTAAGGATTATCCGAGGCCGACATAACGCCTGTCGAAACTGTGTCAGCGCTATTCAGAAACATGAAGTTGAGGATTTTGTCCAAAAGTGGTATTTACAGACCTTTTTTTTTAAAGAAATGACCTGAAAATCCTAGGCTATTTTAGCTGCAGCTTCCACAAAAAATAGCAGGAAAGATTGCAAACCGGATATGTGTCAAAGAATGTTAATTGACTCCATTTATCGTTTTTGATTGGATTCGGGACGTTTTTGCGTTAAAGCTTGCTGAAAAATCAGGTGTCAGGGTGTTGAATTATTATATTTTGAATACAAAATACTTTTTTTTATCGATTCAAAATTTAAATACTAAAATTCCGTTTGGCATTGGAATTTATTTGGCACAAAAAATAAATAAAACATTATTCAAAAATATAATGACTCGATTCTAAAATCGGCATAAATACTGAAATACCAAGAAATACAACACGCTTCTGCCCTTCTGAGTGATGATATCATATAATACCGGTACTGTAATAAAATGAATTGGGGAACAGTTAAGTTTAGGAGGAAAATGTGCGGTTTTTTTATACTTATAAAAGTTATCAGTATGCAGGTGGTGTGTGCTCAAAGGTGATAGTATACCGGTACGGTATTTTATAGGTCAGCAAAAATGTGGATCCTACAAGTTTCAGAGTTTTGGTGTAATACTTTGGTGTCACAGTGCTATAAAGCATGAGGATTTGAAAAAAAACTTAAAAATCATTTCAACAGACCTTATCATGATTGCATTTTTGCCATAAGATGAGGGTGTTATAATTTAAAAGTACATTTTAATGGAGTGTGATAACCATTGTTACATGTCTGCATGTCATTGGTTGTCCAAATTCTGAAATAAAATTAAAATTAAAGAATAAAATGATATCCTGGGATGAAGGAAGGAAAAAATATATTTGATTTGGTGCAAGGAGATATTAAGAAGTATTATTAAAGGAAGGAAATTGCCCAGCATGCTACTTAACAAAAAGCATTGTCTGTATTGTTACCAGTACAGCAGTAGCTGCATCTGAATGTAATTTACTATTTCAACCTAAATCGCTGTGTTTAATTAAGCATGACAATGGGATTGAATGGTGTGCTAATTATTAAATCAGTTCATTGTTCTATATTGAATCTGGGTGAGGTATCCTGTGGAGTTGTTCAAATTGGCATCTGGTGTTTGATAATCTTGGGAGTTTTTTTGACAGTTCTTCCCATCCGAATATTTTTATGAATAATAAATAGTTCAATAATATAAATAATCCCTTTCAGAGTCGAATTCGCCTTGAAAAATAATCTATGGAAGAATAATATGTTCAAACAGAGAATTTAGCTACTGTATATTACTTAAGTTTAGAACAAAATTGTAACTTTGATTTTGATTTTTTGATGTTAATTGTTAGGGGATTTGAACTTTTGGTGCACATACTGCATTGAATTCTTGTTCAAAACTTTTACTAACAAATGGAATGAAGATATTTTCTTTATTTCTATCGCTTTATTTTGAATTTGGGCTCGCTTGGAACAAGTTGTTCAGGCTGATGTAGCATCATAGTACATAGTTCGAATTTAGCTTCTGATGCATAGCACCGTATTAAGTTTCACTCTTATATATATATTTGCTTTCACATTTTCGCAGATTTTTCTGTAATAGATTTAAATAAAAATTAGATTTAATAAAAATGCCTTCTAAAAAAAAGAAATATAATTCAAGATTCCCACCGGTGAGATATTGCTTTTGTATTTATTTAAATAAACTGGAATAATAATACTATGATTTTAGGTAATATACTTTGATATGTCTTATAGAGTTCTAATTATTCACCTCAAAGTCACATTATTTATTCTTAATATTTCAATTTAAAAAATATTTTACTTTGCATTTTAATTTCTTGTTTTTTATTGTTTGTAAAAAGCATGGTCTCGTCAGCAGTTTCTCAAAGATAAAAACTTATCTTGAGCTGAATTACTGACTAAAGCTATGAAGTTTGCCAGAACCCAACACTTTCACATTAAGAACAGGGAACAAATTAAAATGGCATTTACTATACAGCTTTGCAGAGTTGTAGGAGGCTCTGTCTAACTCTAATACATCCAATCCGGTAGTCTTAACTTTTTATTAATGTTCCAGGCTCGCATCAAAAAAATAATGCAAACAGATGAAGAAATAGGGAAAGTTGCAGCTGCAGTACCAGTTCTTATATGTATCCTTTGAAAATTTTATTTTTCTATCTTGTTTATGAGTAGAGGGTTGGACGTGATATCACTTCATTTTATGTTAGTGAAGTCGCTATGTCTTTTGTTATATTATGTCAGTTATGTATAGCCCTTTTATTGCAAAAAGGATGCATCTGACTAAAATCCGTGGTTTCAATCTCATTTCCCATAATGCATTTCCCTGAGTCGTTGAGAACAAATTAATGTTCCCCAGATGGGATTTTTATGATTATTCACAAATAGTTTTCATAGTGACACACTAATTGTAATGAGAACATTCATATACGATTATTCATCTTGCGTATCTCTTTATCCGCATTCAGGATACCTCTAATGTTTTATGTTCTTCCTTAATGATCCAATACAGCTAAATGCTTGGAAATGTTCCTAGCTTCCTTACTGGCGAAGGCAGGTGAAGTCACAAAATCAAAACGAGCAAAAACAATGTCAAGGTCTCACTTGTAAGTGACGATTTATAACTCATTTTTCCTAATTTCTATCGTGTTTTGAATAGAAAACCACTTTGTAGGATTTCTGTATTGCTATCTTAGTTCAAATTTATCTCATTCTCATTTAGAAAACAATGCATCATGTCAGAAACAATGTTCGATTTTTTGAAAGATCATGTAGCCAATATACCTGATGTACAAAATGAAGATGAAGCTTCCGGGAGTATGGGTCTTTCCATGGAAAGAGAACCAGCGAAGAAAGTGGTTCGGAAAAGGTATGCAAACGTTGTTCATGTAACCAGGAATATATAATGGAAAATAAACTTGAAAACTACAACTATTCATATAAATTTTCGTCTTTTCAATAGGTACAATTTAGATTCCATACAGTAACTGACTTAAATGATTTATGTTTTTTTTATAATCTATTAATGTCATATTACTACTAATACAATGGTTTCCTTTCTAGGAGTTCTTCTAAAGTTAAGAAAACGCCAAAGAAGCGACTAAAGCTAGGACATTCAAATAATTATAGCGAAGACGAGGTTTGTGTTTTGAAAAACATTTACTGTAACTGCAAACTACTCAAATATTTTTATCCTCTTGGCATGTACATGTACTGCTTTACTATTGTTTATTTATTTTTCGTCTTCATATTTTTAAATAACAACCTAGATAAGCAACAAATCTAAGTTAAGGAAATATTGACTCCAACTTCGGGCCATAAAAATTCAGACTCCACTCTTAACTCTTTTATTAGACTGTTAATTTAATTTCCTCAAAATCAGACAAGTTTTATTTATTCAAAATTAAAGGCGAAAAAGTATTCTGGAATCTCTCACTAAGCAAAAAATGTCGACTTGAAATCAAATATTATTGTTATTAGAGACATGACATGACATTTTTATTCGCTTTTAATCTGACTGTCTATCTGTAGTGTCCATAATAATGACTAAATCCTAATATACACCATATTTATGTATACTAATTTGCTATCAATATTGTACATCTGTGTGAAGAGGAGACATTTAACAAACTTTACTTGACATTAAGACTGATTCTGGTAATGATGCAAGTGAGAACGAGTCCGGAAACGAAGAAAGTGATGCACAATTGTCATCTTCATTTTCATCACCTGGTCTGCTGAGTCCGTCAATTCAAAGTAAATTAGAAATGCAAAGGTATGAACTGTGTGGTAATAATGATGCTCTGTGTATTACTTCTAAGTAAAATAGTACGACATATTGTACCTGCTATGGCTTGGCAGTTGTGCATTGTGCTAAGCGTCACTCTTGCCATTGCACCTGTGCGAAATGATAGCTGTAATGGTCTTGTGTAAAAGGATTTTTAGGATTCTCAGTAACACAGTATGGCTCACATAAATCAATGATTAAGTTTGCTAACCAGAATAGCATCTGGCATTGTGCCATGGTTCTTAATATAATTAGATTGTCTCATTGTCTCCCCTGTTTTGGGACATACATAAAGATTCTTTAATATGCTTGACAAATCGGTAATACGACCTGGGTGTGATGGTGGGTAAAGAGTGAACCCAATATCTTCCGCCGCAGCCTTCAGGGGGTCGCAGAACTTTTTAATACCGTATTTTCCGGCGAATAAGTCGCTTTTCTAGACCCAAATTTTTGGCCTGATTTTGGGGGGGTCGTCTTATTAGGCGAGTATGATCATTTTCATTTTTTTGTCGCCTTATTATTGAATCCGGAAAATAAAATACCTTCGGCGATAGCATCCCCCACGTCCTCATCAGGTTAGTTTAAATAAATCGACATTCTCGTGCTGTGAATCTGGAATTTCAATGCTGTGATTATCATATTTGCTACAAGAAAAAGTCATAATAGGCTATTTTAACCAATGCGCAAACGCGGCGACTGCTCGAAAGGCATTGCATGGTATTTTAAGATTCCCGACGTTGACAAAAACCCATTTTTTCAGGCTTAAAAACAGGCCTCATCTTATTCACCGGGTAGACTTATTCGCCGGAAAATACGGTATATTGGATGGGGTCGCAAGCTCAAAAGTTTGGGGCCCTGCACTAACTAGCTGCCAGTGGTTTCCTATACTTTCATTGTCTACAGCTCCCCCTTCCAAAGACTCATGCAACATGTCTAATTATAAAAAAGCCAACAGAGCATGAATGAATTGCAAATAAGTCAAACAAACAAATGACAGTCAATTTAATATTAATCATGTAGTTATTTCAAATGGTGACTGATGAAGGTCCTTGCTCGTCATCCCCAAAGTACTGCTTCATGGCCCCTAAGAGGAGTCAAGGGCTCATTAATTAATATACCCTGCTCTATTACATTTATTGAAACCTCAACAGTTTTGTGAATTATTTAATCATTTCTATATCCATGTTGAATTATTTTTATTATTTCAGCACTTCTTCACTACACAATCAATTTGAAGCTGATCAGGCGACAACTGGACCTGAACGCAAACCATCTATTCACATCCCACTTGATGTATTGTTGTCTAGTGATGCTTTACCTTCTACGGTGAATGTCAACCAACCTGTAAAAATTGAAGCCTCGTCTGATACAAATAAAGAACCGAGTGACAATAAAAAATTCACTGATCTTGAAAATAACGAAACAGCAGACAAATCAGCACAATCAATGGATACATCATTACCACAAGAAAACAATAGGCATGAAAAACAACACGATTCTTCTGTCAGACAAGGGGTTATTGTCGCAAACACAGCAGTATATTCACAGTCTACTTCAGCTGTAGGCAGTGCTAATATTCGAGAGACGCAATGTGCAAATCAGAAGCCAATACAAGCGAGTTCTAATGAAGTAAAAAGTTTAGAGGAAAGTGAGTCAAATACAAGCACAGGCAGAAACGAACAAAACATAGACGATTTTGGCGATTCTAACAAGCCTTCTCAAGACAATGTTCCTCCAGTGATTCCAAAACCGGGTGGCATGTTATCTTTTCTTTACAGTTCCGCACCTATGCCTCTACCACAATTACCGGCTACGACCACTGTTTCGAAGGGACCGTCTTTGACGCCCCAAGTCAAATATGCATACTCCCCACTTACGCAACACAGATTGCCAGAACCTTCTGCTGGCCTAAGACAACCTCTTTTGTATCCTGATACTCGTCCACCTCTAAATAACCAGCTGAGCCTGGAAAAAACACAGCACGGTGCGGCAGCGCTAATAAAACAAGAACTTTCATCTGGGCCCCCAGATTTTCAACGTGCACCTAATCCTTATACTTACCCATATGTTCCGTATAATCCAACCACAACGCAGAGACATTACTTAGGATATACGCAATCCATCCTGACGCCACCGAGCCACCATTTAGGCATAAATTCACACTTAGCAGCTCATCCTAGCTTGCATCAAGCAAAGCCTAATTCTAGAGCAAAAAGTGATGATGATGATTACGATGCTTAGGTTATTTTACGAAAAACATGAAGTCGATCAGTGGCATGAGTTCCAGATGCATACTGTATTACTAATTTCTATCCCGTTTGTGAACTATTTTATTCAGATATTCTATTTCTACATTGGAAAGGATTGTTTTACTAGGGGAAGGGGGATTAAAGCTGATGAACATGCATAATTATAAGGTGAACCACTGCCTCTGGTTTGGTTGTGTCTGAGGTGATGTATGGGAATAGGTAACCAGATCAACGAATAGATATTTGCATTGTTCATAGAGTGGCTCTTAGAGTTGTACTGTGACCATCCACTCCAGTAATTCATTCTTGTAAAATATCCATTTTGAAGGATATGAACTTACGGCTTCAGGCAATCAAGATAATATGTTCATCATGGTTATTATATGAGCATATGCTGATCCAATGTTTATTGGAGCTAACTATGATGTTACAATCTTTTATAAAAACATAATTCGTTGTAATTCTGGCATCAATTTTCTTTGATTACTCAAATCTAATGTTCAATAAATATTCCATTTCTTTTTATGATAATTCTACTGCTGTACGACTAATTTTCTGATTTGAAGTACACAGTAAATGAAATTCAACCTATCAGATATTTTTTGTCTGTTTCTTTGTGACTGAAAAACAGTTTTGGCAACTAATATTACAGTTCCTATTATTATTGTTGAATGAAATATTATACACCATAGTTTTTACTAGTGTGCAAATCTCATTGAAGAATCGTAGTTAATATCAAAAAAAAATTTTGTCTAGTGAGATTTCATATATTGACACACTTGAACCTAGATTAATGATCATGTCGTAATTATTCTTTTTCATCGAAATGATTTCATTTACAAGATGATCTTCTATCTGTGCGCTGCTCAGATTTTGCGCGAACAAGCTGGTAGTCCTTAGTTTGTTCCTAACACATTTGAACTATTATGAATATTTTGATAGACTCACCTCGGCACATTTTCTTACGAGTCCTAGAATTCGAATCATTTGTTTATGCAAATAGATGTCTGCTCATGTAGGCTATATAGGGTTCATTCTTGGCACTTTGTGTCAAGTGTGCTACTGAAATAGGATAGGATTTACATATTTATCCCGGGGGAGAGGAAAGCCGATAAGACGGCTTATCCATATGGCGAACCACGGCCCCTCGTCCGGTTACCATTCCAAGTCGGGTATGGGATTAGTTTTACTGTATTGTTTGTTTTCGGAAGCATGGACTTGGTGGTGGAGGAAGCCGTAACCGACCAGCGGATGTATTAGACTGGAGCTGTGCACCATGTTTGTTGAAATGGTGCAAAAATATCAAAATTCTGGATGGAGTATGTGATTGAGATACCCAAATACTGTATTCACATAAACCCTTTCATCACCTGTTGTGCTGAGTATGAATTCATCAATCATGTCGTACCACCCATTCATTATAAAACTCTGGTCTGTACATTTTAACATGATCCCGAGTACCTGTACCTATTATTCAACGGACAAATCTTGATGGTGAAGGAGGCCGTAACCAACCAGCGGTTACGTGAACCACCCTACGACGGCGAGAAGTCTAGCAATCCTCTCGCACATGACCATCCCCGAACGGGATGTGAACCCACACAGAGTAATCAGAGGTGCGGTGGCGAGTGTATTCCGAACGCTTAGCACGATGAGCCACACCGCCGCGCCGTCATATATTATCCTCGTATATAATATGGTAGTCCCTTTATTTAAGTTTGCCTCGCTTTTAACCTTCGCGTTGCTTTGTAACTACCTAAGTTCGATTGCGCCAGATTGTATTCCAATGTTAACCACGTGCTTATTGGCAATTAAAGACGTGAAAGGCGCAGAAGATGGATAGTATATAACAGAGGTGTGGGAACTTGCGATGTGTAAGACAGAAGATAACAGTGTGCACGGTATGTATTATTATTGGACAGTCTTGGGTACGAAGCGACCGCAAACCTTGACGATCGTATTAGTATAAGTTTATTTTTATTTCTCCGAAACGAAAAAACACGCGAAACAGCACAATGAACACACATTGATTGGGGAGGATGAAAAAAAACTCATCTAGGTTAAGAAATACAAAATCATGTTTAGATATTTCATTTCCGTAGAGCATGAAATACTGACACAAATAATCAAAAAATGATTACAGAAAGATCAATTAGGAACAAAGCGATGTGTACATAATACCTTTTGTCAACATGTCAGTTTGTATTGGAAATTCTGACGTTGGTCAGATGATACGAACCTGCAAACCCACGTAGGGTAATTAGAGGTGCGGTGGCGAGCGTATTCCTAACGCTTAGCACGATGAGCCACATCGCCGCCGCATCTTATTAGTCAATCATCATCATTAGTCATCGTATCCGTCAATCACAAATATGTAAGTATAAATTTGGTTTGTGATTGGCACCAGACTAAAGGGTAGAGCTATGGAGTCGGAGAAACTTTACGATCGTTTTTTCATGTGCGGGATGATTGCTGGACACAGTATGTTCCCCAGCTTTTCTTTTTAGGGGGGGTGTTTCAAAATTTCGGGGGTGGTAAATAATTTGCTGTTAGATATAAAACTAGGCTATTTGTATTCTTAAAAAAATGGTATGTATTTAAGAAACGATGTAGGCTACATGGGGGCCCCCCAAGTTGATTGACGCGAGCCAAAATCCACAGCAGAATGTAATTGTAGGGCCAGAAAAGGGGAGCGAGGAAAAGTGCGGGACGATACGGCTGGGGTTCAGGGCGCGCTCAAGCGCCCTGAGAAAATTTTGAGAAATAGGCACCAAAATAGGCTCTAAGCTTGATTTAAGATACACCTAACATCGCAGTTTGTTATGTAATGAAATCAATAATTATAATATTTAGCTGATAGAATTCCCGGGGAATAGATAACAAGCACGGCTTTCAACCGTAAATATATACTACTACGTTTCAACAAGTAATTTGCAAGTTGCACTGATAGTGACTAATGAAGTTACTTGCTCATCTGGCATTGTATGAATGGCTACTTATGGCTTGTTTTGTTACACATTTCTAATTTTTTTGAACATGTTTGTTTGACTTTTGTATGAATTGAATTTTGGAATAAGCTCGTCAACTGATCATAATGTCGCATAATGTTGTATTCCTTCAGAACTGAAATATTTTGTTGGTAAGAAGACAAATCGCTGAAGTTTGATTCTTTTCAATAAAGAAATAAACAACGCTGTCATTCATCTAAAAAAAGTCTGTTTTCAGTGCCTAGTTTTCGTTTTGTGAAATCTTTAAGCTTTCTTAATATACGGCTGATATCTAAAATACTGCAGTGTGTAATCCTAATACCCATACGTATACATAAGATACCGGAATAATTCAATTGTTACGAAATAAACGTGCTTAAACTGTGATAATGATGTAACAATAGACGGTATTTAAATCTCAAAAGGTACCACATGAAGGACTAAACTATTTCACTCAAGTTCGGCGGGCCATTTTAAATCGTCACGCGGGCCGTAATTGGCCCGCAGACTGCGGTTTAGAACCCCTCAGTGTGGAATCGCACCTCAAAATTAGGGGGGGGGGTTTGAAATTTTAGGGGGGGGTGTTCACCCCCTATAGGGGGGTGTAGGGAAATCACTGGCTGGACAGCTCTGTCTAATCTCCATAATTTTGAACATGGAATTTAACCAGCCGCAAGATGTTGCGCGAGAGTCAAAAACTAACGGATAAAATTGTGGGTTTTCCCGAATTAATGAGTTGCGACAAGTTACTCACATTAGATCTGCTTACAGTCGGGAGGAATGTCGTCTTCAGCCTGTACGATTACTTGCGGCATACAGTATTGGACCTTCAATGATAGACAGTGCCAAATCCCAGGTATGTATGTACCGCATGGTATCCCTTGAAAAGAAGTTGGCATTAATCTAGTCCAATTCACAATCAGTGCTTATTTATTTATTATTATCAATTAATAAATCGTCATTCATGCTGATTATGGAGGCGAAAGAAACTTAGCTTATTTAGGATCAGAGTTAGGGTATGACATACTTTTTAATTCAACAAAAATTTTTTACCTGACAATCTGTTAACAGCAACAAACTGACAAAGTAGTTGCATTCTCAGCCCTTTCCTGCTTTATATTATTCGGGTCACATGGAGTTTCGTGCCTAACATACGTCTAGTGGGCGTATCATGACAATTTTCTCACGTATCAATTCTAACCCCCAACTGACTACACCATCCAAAAATTACATCAACACAACGTCACAGTGACGTAATAGAGCCCTTCAAACTATACGAACTGCCATCCATGATGCGCAAAGAAGCACCCGAAATCGAACAGTTATTTCTCTTGTTTTCTCGTCGCAACGATTCCAATAGAAGAGAGATCGATAATGTCAGTCAGTTCTTCGGGCGATTGTACGAGTATTTGGCAAGCTCTATGACGTGATTGTGATGTCGTAGTGACGTAATTTTTAGATGGCGTAGTCAGATGGGGGTTATGATTGACATATCAAAAAATTGTTATGCTACGCCCACTAGAAGTACGTTAGGTACGAAATTACACGAGACCCATATTATTCTACAAAGTCTCTACATTTCCACAACAAGACTGGTGCTGTTTATGTTCGAAAAAGACCCTGTACAGCTGTATAAAAAAATTTTGTATGAAGTAGGGCACTACTACAGTCAGACAGTTGTATTGACTATAATCCAGTAATCACCATATTCAGATATTAAATATTAAACCACTCCTGAATAACAATTCATTAATTTCTTCATTGATATATTTCTTCTATTTTTATAGAGGACAATCTTTCTGCATTCTGTTATTACGACAAAGAATCGAAAAAACAAGATGGAGCTAGACAGAAGAGTCAGAAAATTAAAGGACAATATTATCACACTAAACAGCAGTATGTTGAAAGCAGAGGAGGAACGTGGATTCTTCCAAATAAAAGACCAGAAAGATTGAAAGATTCGATCAAAGAATTGGAAGAAATACTGAAATCTCATAAAATTCTTCATGTGAAATGGAATAAACGAAACAGTCTTCAGGTTTGATTTCAGTTCACTTTTATATCTTATTTTATATAAATTTTAGTATTTAGAATTAAACATGATTTTTGGCAAAAACATTCAGGGCTGTTAGTATTGTTTACCATGTTTTTATTGATTTCGAAGATATTGTTGTACCTTCTAACTCTCGGGAGTGGGAGCCCGAGATGAATTTTTTAATTTTTAAGGGTTTTAAACATTCTCAACAGACAATCAAAGAAGATATGTATATGCTAAGATCCCTTCCAACTGATATTGGGAAATGTAATAACAATAGTGAGACAATATGAAGTTTATTTTTATATCAAGCATCGGGCATTATTTGAGATGTAATGTAGTGTTGCTGCTTGATTGTTGATGTGCATTATCCAGGAGTTTTGGTTGTCCATCCATTGTTACTGTTATCTAGCTTACTTGAGTTTACTTATGTTGGATAATTAAATACAATTGATACAAAAATTTGTGTCATAATTTTTGAGATGTTGTATGATCTGGTATCTTAATTTTCATATGTAGCAAAATTGTACTTATTTTCTAGCTGTAAGAATAAAAATGCAATGATTTGTTGACAACTAATGTTAGTATGCTAAGATAAAAAATTTAAATCAATAGCATATTGTTTTCAGATAATTGTTCATTCTGGTTTGCTGATAAATATACTTTTATCGGAGAACTGCGATATACAGAAAATATTTTTTGATAAATCTTTGTTGACAAAAATACAACCAGACTTCGGACCGATTGGTGCAGGTATTGTAATATGTATGGTATAACAAGTTGTATAAGGAATAATATATTTACAGATCTAGTTGAATCTGAAAAGATTTCTAATTTTTTGGGCTGTCTAGAGTAAAAGGCCAAAAATGATTTGATGGGGCTATAGTATACATTGTTTCCTCTTAATTGGAATAAATTTTTCTGTGTCTTATCAATATATCAGGTTTGGAAAATAGCTATAGCTGACAGAAAGTATTTCTTCGCTTCCTAAGTTTCATGTATTTCTTTCCAGGCTTTTCATTATCATCTTAAAAGTTTCTCTTATCACTATCTATATTTAAATAGTAATTTTCTGTTTCTCATTGCAGCCTATCTCACAGATCGATTTTTAATACTTTGTTTGGATGAGGCAAATAAGTTATGTTTTATAAGTTTTGTACAAAGACCTGCAACTCCCAATCAAAAACAACTATCAAGTAAATTATCATCAATGGACATGAAAATATCTTATCACGATATTCCAGGTATATGTTTGCTCAATTGATGGTGTGACACCTCAGTGTGGCAGTGAGCCGGTGTGGCACTCCTTATGTGGCAGTGAGCCGGTGTCATGTGACAGAAAACTGTTTGGCTTATCGTGGCTGAACAGGTCAGATGAATTTAGTTTGATTAAATGTTTCATTTTAATAAAGTATTGCAAAATGTCCTTATCTAAATGTCATGATTTATGGATTTCTATTGAGGTAAATTCTTGATTCTATGAAGAAAATCGAGTACTTTTTTCTGAAATAATAATTATGTCCAATTGAAATATGATTTTAATAAATGTACGGTCCTATTTAACTGCTACTATTACGGTTTATGTGTATTAAACCCTGAACTAGACTCCATGCTAGCTTCCACTGCTATAGTTTAGAAGCGCCAAAATTTTTTTTTCTGTTTTCAAACATTGTCTACTCAATTTATTACCCCTGGGTGAGGGGGTGATAATGGAATTTGAGTCCGAGATTTGTCATCTCTGATTCCAACTTAGTCCAACGCTTCCATCATTAGGCTATCGCATGTTTTACAGCACCGATCAAAAAACAATGGCAATTTAAAATTTTAGCACTACAAGCCAACTTCTACTCGCTACAAATTTATGATGACTCGTACAAAAACTTTTTGAATGTAAACAAACTTAAAATATGTCTATTCAATATTCAAATTTTTTTTTATAAATATCTTGTTTAAATTCAATTTTGAATTTTATTAGGTTTTCGTTCTATGAGAGGGAATAGAAAACTGTGTGTAAATAAAGCTCATAATCTTGCGATATGTTGGTCAACATCGCACACAACACCATCAACATGGACTTCCACTGATGCAAATGAAGAAAAAGCTAATATGATTCTACTTGGATCTTCGTTTGGCAGGTGAACAAGATTTAATACATTGAAACTCGGTAGTCGAACGATTCCATAATCAATTCAGATAATGCAGTAAAAGTCGTACACTATTTATTAACAACTTGTTAGTGTTAAATCTTTCTCTTTTTGATTCAGATTGGAAATTTACAGTTCGATATATACAGAATCTAATCCAATTCATGTTGAATTCAGCAGAAAGAATGAGAATCAGGTAATTTGGTAATCAAATTTGTTGCATAAATTCGCGAGTATTGTTTACTAGCGTTAGTTCTTTTTGGGGATATATTTATTGTTATGATTCTTACTACATACACACTATAGGCTACATTGGAATATATTCGCATTTTATAATGAATTCGGTATACCATGCTTAATATATTGCATCCATTGAGGGATAATGTATTCAATTTAACCAATAGAACTGACCAAGTTTCGAACCCAGAGTTTATAGGGATAGGATTTACATATTTATCCCGGGGGAGAGGAAAGCTGACCAGACTGGTCATTCATATGGCGAACCATGGCCTTTCGTTCGATTACTAGTCCATGCTTGGGTTAGTTAGCCAGTTATTTGTTTCAGATATATGGACTTGATGGTGGAGGAAGTCGTAACCAACCAGCAGTTACGCGAACCAGCCTACGGCGGCAAGGAGTCCAGTAATCCTTTTGCCCATTATTATCCCCTCACAGTATTGGAACCTGCGAACCCATACAGGTTAATGAGAGGTACAGTGGCGAGCATATTCCTAACGCTATACACCGGCCACATCTACGAAGGATGACCCTAATTCTGGGAAAATTTAATTTTCTATACATTATTTCTTAGGTTCATAGTCTTGAAAGATCAGTAACAGCAAAGAATGAGATTGTGCTTCACTACGCCGTGTATGAATGTACTCAGAGTAAATTACAGAGACTTGAGGTTACCCAGATACCTGTCAAAAGTGGGATATTGTCGAGCGATATTAGCAGGTATATAAAGCAATGCCATTTTCGGGATTTATATACATGGTTGTGCTGAGAGCTACTATATATCGGAATTTTTATATATGAACTAACAACTGAGGTTAAATGCACTTAGATTTCGATTTCCACTATCAACATTCAACAGTATGAAATTTTTACCTCACTGGGAAGAATTTGATATTTCTACTTAAGCTCACACTCCTGACTTAGGAAAGTTAGAAATTTTGGTCTGATTTTTCTTATTTTAGTTCTATTACGAGTTCGGGGCTGTCTGTGTTAGCCAAGTGAATATACCCCCTGTCCGTAGGCTTCTGTCTCTTTACACAACATGACGTAAAGTAGGTGAACAAAATGATTACCCCTGTCCGTAGGCTTCTGTCTCTTTACACAACTTGACGTAAAGTAGGTGAACAAAATAGTTACCCCTGTCCGTAGGCTTCTGTCTCTTTATACAACTTGACGTAAAGTAGGTGAACAAAATTAGTTACCCCTGTCCGTAGGCTTCTGTCTCTTTACACAACTTGACGTAAAGTAGATGAACAAAATTAGCTACCTCCATATAGGTGCACATACTTCTGAAGCGCCGAAAGTTCGACTCATGAACTTTCCATCTCTATTTTTCGCCTAGTATCATTGATAGATCATAGGGATTGAACGAAATATAAGATTCAAAGTTTTAAAAACCGATTTTCTTTCTTATCGAATTCACTGACAACACATTTGGAAAATCATTCTGAACTTATAGCTGTATAAAAACAAGATCGGATTTGGTGATGATCACAAGATTCACAATGTTCCAAGAACGATATTAAAGTTTATAATGTCTATCCTAGAGAAGAAGATAAAATTGTAGTCGGCTGTACAGATGGGACAGTTCTTGTGTTTGATACTCTAACGAAAACAACTTCGTCAATACGAGATTCTCTCATACCAAGTATTGTATCGTGGCATCCTAATGGAGGTGTAATACTTGTTGCAAGTGGGAGCGCAGAATTGCAATGCTATGATTGTGCTTTGGGAAAGCTGTCAACTGCATTACTTGATGAAATAGAAGATTCATCCATGCATGACATGTTAAAAGTGAGTGGCTGCTATATACAATTCTTTGTTGCATGCTCATAATTGTCTCTCGGATTAAAGTCGTATTTGAATTCTTGTCTTTACTCTTCTTAATGTTGCTACATCATAAATAGCAGAAAAAGTGAGCTAGAGCAGGGGTGTCAAACATGCGGCCACAGGTAACGTCCCATGTGGAACGCTTCACAATAATTGTAATATTTTGTAATTTTTTTTTTATCAACCGGTAAATGTAATACATTTTTCAAACCTTTCAAAGTGAAATTGATTATTCACACAAAAAACGACAATTTACGGAAATTAGTTTCAAATTTTTTTGTTCTAATTTTGACCCAATTATGGATGTTTCCAAATTAACCGATGATCATGTGACCTCGTTAATTAGAGTTGGTACTGTAAAACCATTTCAGCCTGATATTTGTAAGCTGGTGGCCCAAAAGAGGTGCCAAACGTCAGGACAAATGTAATAAAAATCATTATGTTGTCTTTCGGTCCTTCCAAAAATTGTATCTCCTTACATATTAGTGACCGCTTATACAAGGTCCTGTTCAGAGCAAACATGGATAAGCGACATGCGATGATGAATAAGCGAAAAAATGACAGAAAATTTACATTACCGGTAATTGAGATATATAAATATAAAATCATATTGTTATTCAAAATTGAATTTATGTGATATGTAGCCTATATTGTTTTTTTACCAATAATATTTTCATTTTTCTTGTATTTTCATACAGCTTTCAAAATACTTGCCATCAGAAAATGGTCTTGTGTCACTAACATGGCCTGATTTTGTTACTGAAACTCAAGTTGAGGCAACTTCAACCATAAAGAAATCTTCTGTTTGCCATGATGTGTCTCTGGTTTTATTTGATGGTGGTCCTCTCGCTATTCTTAAATTCAATGTCGGTGTGTTAACTAAAGGTTTATTGAGGCCGATAGAAGTTGTGAAAGAACACATTACACATGATAAAGTAAGGTTTTAATTTTTCAAAAATCATAGGCTCAAACTTTATATTAAAGATGTAAGGGATTGGGTTGGCCTTGGATCAAACTGTAACTATTTTTAACTATATCAACCTGGTTACTGCCTGCCTATTTATTCAGCAATTTTTGACTACAAATTCAGGGATGGCCATTTCCGAATACTAAACTATTCCGAATACATTCTAAAATAATGTTTTCGAATCTGGAATTCCGAATACATTCTAAAATCGAAAATAACACATTTTTGTTTAGTTTATTAAAACCCAGTAATTAGGAAATAAGCTTCAATAAAAATATCAGAATAAAGCCACAAACCAACAATATATGTACACAAGATAATTGATAGTTTATAGCTATCAATAAAAAATAATAGCAACTTGTGAGTTGTGACACAGTCAGTTTATTAAAATTATTCACTTTGTACAAATGACCATATGAAAAGATAGCCAAGGAGTTGTCTGACACTTTCTTTCATTGGTACCATGATATTATGATAATAGTCAAGTCTGTTGACAAAAATACTACTTGTATTCAGATAATTGTGTATATTTTTTGAGAGTAATAAAATTTATTGGCAATACAGGCAACTGAAACAAGCAACAACAATCGAAAATCCATTATGCCTTTAAAAATTCTAATATTTAAGCATAGAGTATTCTACTACCTACCAGTATATTTGTATATTAATTTAGGTGAACCATATTGTTATTATGTGTAACATGTTGTTGTGTTTGAAATTAGAAATAAATTAGTAGAGGATAAATGACCACCACTGCCAGCCGCGCAGCCAGGATTTTCGAAATCGGAAATTCCCATTGCCACCTGTAACACCCAAAGTGACTTTGGTAACACCCACCGCGATTCCGCGCTCGTTAAAAGAGCCGTCTTTTCAGCGTATAATGATCATCCTGTTACGTAAAATATTCAATCCATGACAACTACGAGTTTCTAAAATATCTTTATATATTAATTTAATGTGTCCAACGTCACTCGCGGTTGCTTCTTCTTACGTCAAAAAAAACATTACTATTCGGTCCACGGCGATCTGTGACCTAAAAGTACGAGATAAACTGCCTGATGTATTTAATTTTAATACGTATTTTTGCAATCTTGCCAATTCGTTATCGCCGTTAGAAAAATCTCAAATAATGATATAAAATCCTGTTAAGTGTAGAGTATAATTCATTTCATACAATGAATATAAATATAAAGTTTAGCAGTAAATTGAAAATACGTATTCATCGCCGCGATTATGCCACCTGTTAAAAGAGTCGACTTTTACAACAAATAATATAACAATATATTTTTCTGTTGTGCAAAGTGATGAATTCGTGACCGATACGGGCATTTTTAAAATGTCTTGCTTCATTATTAATTTAATTGTCTTCAATTTAACCTGCGGTTGCGTCGACAAAATAAAATCCTCACCACTCTTATATACCATTGCAATCCGCGGTCATAAAAATAAAAACGTGTGGTAAACTGCCCGATTAAATAATGTTTTGATCCGTATTTTGCGAATTCGGCAAATATTTAGATGTACTTGTTAACAGTGTCTCCGCTCAATCGAAATGCTGCCACTCTGATTATTTTTAGAAAAAACCGTTCGAAAAATCCGTAAATCTTCTGTAACATCTCGGAGTGAAATTTATTTCATCAAAATAAAATTGATTAAATTTATTTGAAAATATTCGACGGCAATTTAAAGTAATGGATAATCAGGCAAATCCCGCCCTCAATTCGTGACGATATGTTTCTAAACGACGACCAAACATAATGTGTGCCAGAGGCACACAAAACTCTGCTATTTTCACTGCCTGGAAAAGCGTTTTTCAAATTTTCGCGGGCCTCAATAAAACTTATATTGTTTACGGTTTTATTTTCAGTATTTTAAATTGCCGCTTTTCAATCAAAAAGTTGCGTTGTCTTTAGAAACTCGCCGCCGATGAATGTATTTACCAGATTCACAATTCCGTGCGCGTACAAAAATAAAATTATTGTCTTCCTTACGTGGAACAAATTTGTGGAAAATTTTCGTTTTAGAGAAAATAACGCAAACGTAAAGGCGTTTACAGCCTAAATAACACGTTACGCTGATGAGTGATGAAAACAATCACGCGCAAGTTTCTATCGAGAATGTTTTCATTCAACGGAAACGTCTTGAGAGCGGCGTCGAAAATGTGTGACGTCACACAAATATCCGATATTCTTATGAACGCTAATTCCGATATTCGAATGACGAGATATTCGAATACATTCGAATACTTTATTCGAATTGGCCATCCCTGACTACAATAATTCAATTAGGTCTTTAATTTGAAGCAAGAATATAGGATTGAATTATAGATGTTTTGATTTGTTTAATTTGTGTTTTAAAATTCGGTTTCTCATTGGTATTAGTTTTGATATTGAGTGTTTTTTATCTTCGATTGTCGTGGGCAGGGTAACCGAATAGTTAAAATCATTAGACCTAACTATGATTGCCAACCATTTATCTATTTCACTCTCACTATCTCAACTGACACAAGGTGTAATGAATTGGGAAAATTCCAGTTCTTTGAGAAATAAAGTGGTCCTTACATATCAGTGGCCCTCGTTCAGTGCTCGTTCAGTGCAAAATGCGTATAAATATATATTCTGTATCTTGTACATGCGTTTAAAACTAAACAAAATTAAATTAATTTCAAATTTCATTCATGCTAAACTCTATTGGCATTCCTATTCAGAACTCTCCCAAATATTAACGAACGCTTATTTGTTTTCTCTTTTCTACCAGATCGAACAAGCTGTCCAGGTTCTTCATACAATCAATTGGAATACAGATTGCACTCAAGCTTTCCTAGCCATGACATCTATTCTCAATCATCTGTTGAAACAAAAATTAAACTTTGAATGTGAAGGTGAGAAGAAACAAAATTTTGTATAAATTGTACTTCTTATAAATAATTTAAAAAATAATTCGAGCGGCCTGAAATTACAATCTATTTCCTCACTCAAGTCACTTCTTAAAATTAGCCTCTGAGAAAGAAGTATTTTTTAAAAGTGTATTTATGAGTTTGAAAAGTTCGGGAACCTCTGCTGTAGGCCTATACTGTTGATCAGAATAGTAATATAACAGTCTCCCTGTTTCCTAGCAGTGAAAAAAATTAATTTTGTTTTGAAAATAGCAGATTTTGAACACTCTTAAAATCTGAATTTATGAAAAACTGTGTACAGTCGTTTCAGATTCATTTTGAATGTATGTTTTCGCAAAAATTTTTTAACGGTTTTTATTTTGTGGCCACCTAAAATGTGGAGATTTACAGCTATTGATATTCTGTTAGCATCGAAATCCTTATATTTCTATATTTTTTTGAAATTTGTTTTTGATATGTTTTTCGGCGCTCCAGAAGTTTGTGTACCAATATGGAGGTACCGGTAACTAATTTTGTTTGCCCATTTTACATCAAGTTGTGTTAAGGGAAAGAAACCTTATGGGTAGGGGGTATATTCACTTGGCCATCACGGACAGTCACCGAACACGTAATAGAACTAAAATAAGGAAAATCGGAATAAAATTATGGCCTAATCTTAATAACATAGTACACTACACAGTACACATCACTACACAGTACACATACTACAGAAGAACCTGTTTTTCACCAACATTCTAAAATGCTTTGTTCTTTTATTTTTCAGAGTTATTAGAAGCTGCATTAAGTGCCTTTTACACTCCACGAATACCTCTCGCACAAACTATTGTTGTTGAATACAGGCATATTGTCAGCAGGTATGTGTTGGCTCTTGGTACACTTGCACAAATATGAGCTATAAAGAAATTGCCACATCTTGAATGAATTGGAGAACACAGTAACAGACAACAAAATAAATATAAGGCAAATATTCTGCAGATCAGAAATTAATACAAGAAAACTTTATATTCAAAAAAAACTAATTATTGTGCTGATGTATTGTATAAATATCATCTTAAAATTAAAAAAAATCAGTTTTTTTTTTTATATATATAGAACACTCAATGACTGAATACTTTTCCCATGGTACCTACATATTAATTGGATTGTTGGCATTATCATCAGCAAAATTTGTGGTTATGAGTTTAACTATTACCTTTTATTATTCAGAGTAGTATCTGATTTAATGTATACAATAGTGACGAGAAATTTAAATTTAACAGAATACTAATTGGCTGAAAAAATGTAAATTACTATCATTATAATCTTAATTGTTCACATAAATTAGAGAATTGTCAAGTTAAATTTCGAATTTTGACGCCATCGTATTGTAGCTCATTTATAGAATAAAAAGTTATATAACAAAGAAAAAAAATGATTTTAAATATTTGAAATGCAATTTTTTTTTTCAAAAAGCATTAATTAGGAAATTTATTTAAAATACAAAACATTTTTAAATATTATATATATTTAAGTTTATCACACTTTAGATCAAATTAACCATTGAATTACATAACTCGAGCACCAAAAACATGATATAATTATGTAATATTTAAACACTAAGTGTACATACGGATCGTTTTGTTATTATGTTGTTGTTGATCATGTTGTTAGTATTTTTCTTCTTGTTGTAAAAACATCGCTTTTCTCATTAACTACTGAACCAATCGCTTTGAAATTTCCAATGGTTAAACATCATATTTTTCATTAGAAGGCCATTACTTTTACTTATTTTAAAAATTAAAAATTTCTTTGGCCTCTATGGGTTTTTTTTAATGCGATGATCTCATCAAAATAAAAAATTGAGATTCTTGTGACTGTTCCCTCTTTTGCGTAAGTTGTTTTTGTTGGTCAGTTGGTAGTGGTACGGTACCGGTAGACTACTGTGGCAGATTGCATACCTATTTTGTTTCCACATATTTGAGCATCGCTCTCCTCTTTTTTTCAAAGTTTTATGTTTTCTATATTTTTCAGGTACGCGAGAAGGTTTTATCACCATTTGCTTCGATTCAAACGATTCGATAAAGCATTTCTTCTTGCTAAAGACATTCAAGATTATGATTTGTTTGTTGACCTTTATTTTTCTGCAAAAGAATCTGGTGAATTAGTGATCGCAAAAGCCGCGAAGCAAAAGATTTTTGAATTGTATTCAAGCTCTGAAGATGAAGGTCAGTTAATGCTGTATTTACTAAAATCTAACGATAAGAATAAAAATTAAAAAATCTGGACTTCTTAAACTGGGTCCTTGAGAAAACACCTTCACTAGATACAATTAACCAAGTCTACATTTTTGGGTAAATTTACTATGATTTGTATAATTCTTTAACTGTAATGTATTTATGCTGTTGCTTTCGCTTGTTGGCTTTTATAACTAAACGTGGTCTTACATCCTTTTGCATTCTAAAGACTCAGTTTCAGATGACGAGAGTGAACCTGCTACCATAGATGGTCGAAGGTCAAGAAGTGATTTCAAGAGAAGAGGATCGAGTACAAAACGAATCACTCACATCGTTAAAAGAAGAAATAAACCATTTAAAGCAACTTCACCAAGAATAAGAAAAGAAATTGTTCCACCATCTTATCCGCCACCAAGAATGGATGATTTCATGAAATCATTGATCAGTGAGACAAGAGGTAATGATAGTTCTTATTGATATTATTATTTTTTTATTCCCTTTTACACCTCTGAACAAGGCTCTTTGCATGTAGCCACGGATTTGTAAAGAAAGCCCAGAACATTTTCAGTACAACATTGCATTGCAATCAACAATTTTAAATTCAAGTCTGACCATTTGGCAAGTTAATTTTTTAAATGTTTTGGATGGATATAGGATCGCTATTATTATTCCATCAATTCCTATACGATGTTTACCGTTCTTTTTTTTTTTGAACAAATCCCTGATCAAACTCTTTAACATGGAGAGCATCTATGTTAAGCAAAGCTGGACCTTTTCAGTGTTGCATGGCCCATATTACCTGTTACACTCTGCGAACGGCACTTATTGAGAGATCCTATCTTTTCCTTTATTTCTCTACTGTACTGATAAATGATAATAGATGTTAGAATTGTATTTTGGGTTGCAAAAATAAGGTTGGAGTATTTAAAGAAGAAGTATTTTTGCATTTTTTGGACTGGCTATAAATATAAAATAATTTTAAATCTAGCATATGCACTATATGAAATTGACTTACCGGTACATCCAGGAAAAAATGTTGGCTGCAAATATTTTCATAGGCAGAATCAGTGATATCGAAAGCACAAAATTAGGTGCTCCAGAAGTATGTGTTTATTATGTGCCAATATGGAGGTAACTAATTTTGTTCGCCAGTTTTACATCAAGTTGTGTAAAGGAACTGAAACCTATGAGCAGGGGGTGTATTCACTTTGCTAACACAGGCAGTCCCCGAACTCGTAATAGAATAAAAATAATGAAAATGAAATAAAATTATGGCCTAAGGCTAACCTGGTACGCACACTACAGGAGTACCAAAAATTATACCAAAGTGCTAAGAATTTCAGTATAATAGAAAAATAACATAATAACTGAACCATTCATGATTCATTTTCAATTATAGTAATTTATTAATAAACTGTTCAAATCAATTTATATTTTGCATTTCAGCTGTGTTGGAAAACAAGTCGACCCTACCTAAAGATCCGATAGAAAATTTGCCAGCAAATGTCTCAACGACTGGAAGCTCATTGAGAATCTTGGATTATGGATATGTTTAATTTTTCCCTTATTTCAAAACAATCGATCCATATATTATCGTTTCTGTAAAAATTTGAATTTTTCCGTATTTTTACAAAACTATGTGCCTCAATAATACTTTTATTTTTATTGAAATTCAAATAATATAAAGTGGCTTACTCGTTAAAATATTTTTATTCAAATATCGACTGTGTGCTGTATTTCTCATTTCAGTGCCTTGGTAAATGGTGTGTTTTTTCGGTGGATGATTTGCAGTTAATACATGGTGCTTACCTTACATATTTCAATTGACTTCCTTTTTTATTTTCATAAATCATTTCTGAATATATCATTCCTAGTATTTATTTCACAATTCAGACTAGAATTAATTCCTTTTCAATGTCAATACATATGGAACATTAGCCTGGTTGACTATTCCCAGACATGACCTGGATTGGTAACCGCTTATCAGCTTTCCTTTCCCAGTTTCTTGGATTATAATAAAAAGTATTCATTGTGAAACACAATCAGAATATGCAAAAATCTTTGCTAAATATTCGCAACAACAATTTTTTTAAATATCAATAATTTTGTTTAATACATTTTTTTTATTATGCTTATACCTAGTGGTGCTTATCATCTTACTTCATATTCTATGTATATTTTTCGAACTAAAGCTTAAATTTTTTCAATATTATACTGTATACTTCTAAACTATCTTCGAGCATTCCCTAATTAATGTGCACAATGTTTATCTAGGTAAATGAGAAAAAGCGTAACTTGCATATTGATCATAGAAAGACAATCTGACTGAACATAAATGAAAACTCGACGTACTAATTACCAGATATCTCACATATAAGTCGACCCCCTAAAAACTGCCCTTTTTGAATTTTTTGAAAATTCGCATATGAGCAGATCCTACAAATCGTAACACGCTGTACAAGTTGTAGCTGTTATATTCGAGTTAGCATAATTCCGTTCGAGTGTGATCAGGCTTATGAGCACATAAGCCAAATTTTTAGTGTAATCAGAGTTATGTGCGTATAAGCAGACTCTCAGTTTGGTAAAAAAAATTTGTCTTGAAATCGGCTTACATGCGAGATGTATATTGGCTACAATATCTTGATTATCATATTAACGTTTCATTTTGGAATATTCTAAACATTCCTTATTTATAACTTTCATTTCCCAAGGAAATTCTCTTATTCAAATAAGCATCATTGATTCATGAGAAACGCTTCTATCATGTTTGGGATTCTTAATTCACTTTATAGATAGTTGCCATGTGTCATATTTTGATTTGTTGTAACTTGTAATGAGGCATATAGTTTAATCGACTTATCGAGCATATAATCGACTTCTTTATGACCGTATGACATTCCATTTTTTAGTTTTGAAATCTCGAGTGTTGCTTGTTTCTTTGTCACTTCTGCAGTGCGTTTTAATGTGAAAGACTTAATACGATCAAATAGTCCATGACGAGAGATAAGCAATATGGTCAAAGATCATTCTCTGTTTTGACTTTAATTACTGCTGTATGATGCCCAGTGTTACATGTCATTCTGTGTTTATTTTTTTAATTTGAAGAATAATTACCAGTACTCAATTTCCGAATCAATTTCATCTTCAAACTTTAGGGCTTTATTTACTATAACTTGTGCCTATTTGAATCGTTAACAGCTAGTGCAAATGTAATACAGATATTTCTCGAATTTTTTTGCTTTTTGCACAAATTGTTTTGCCAAATTTTGTTAACGCTAGTTATTCTTTGTATCTTTCTACTTTTTATTCTTGTAGTTTTTTGCACATTTATACTATTTTGCTTTTTGTTGCTTTATTTTTATCGATGATTGAAATTAAAATTATCTTGTCCAGTTTCGATTGCATGATTTATTGATTTCCAGTCTTTCAATTTACCAAGGTCACATAATATAAAATAAAAAGATCCAATAAAACTATGTTTTTGTCAATTCGGGGGCTTCAACCCGAACGAGCGAAACATGAAAAAGATGTTTTGAGAGTATGAAGAAAACGTATATTATCGATTTTTAAGCTTCTGTAATTTTTTATAAAAATACTTATGGCCTTCAAATTTTGGTCAGATACCAACTTAGAAAAGCATCAACTTTTGAAATTTTGAAATTTAACAGTTTTTTACGAAACCCTCAAATTTAAAAACCTGACCCAAAAAAGGAATAGTATTCCAAAAGCCACAATTCTTATTTTGTGAATTACAATTTGATGAGTATATATCATTTATTAGTAAATTTTAAATAGGATGAAAAATGCACCTTCAAAATGGACAAAATATATCGAAATTATGATGTAGCATTACCACTTATATTTACATGTATTGCTTTGTGACATTACTATTTTTTTTACTCTTTCCATTATTTCAGATGATATTTTTATAAATAAATAATTACTAATTAATTAATGTAAATATTTGTAATTCGTCAATAAAATTGACCATGGAATCCATCAAATCATCCCTGATTTCTGACGAAAATGGAATTCCAAAAATGATGTGGAAACCTCCGACTGAAAATAACTGTAGAATGGAAGAGTTCAGATTGAAAGTTCAGAAGAAATTCGGAATTACATTAGGTCGGTGTTGTAGTTTTCGTTCATTGGTAGTCAAGGCGGAGTTGAGTCTCTTTGAATATCATTGAAATTGTCAAGTGATTAGCAACCACATTCCCAAAACTTTGCATGATATTCCAAATACTGAACGATTTATGTTCGACTACATGGTGTGCAAGTTGGTGATGATTTATAACATTAGGCATGAGTATAAGAAAATACAACTAATCCTAATATGCAATAGATATACTAATATCAGTTTCAAGAAAAAATGTGCGTTTCATGGATTTTAGGATTCTTCTCTGATTGAGCTAAGGGTTAGAATATCCTCGTTCTCACAACCGTCAGTCTATTGTTAGTTGTTACCGTACTTATCGATCCTGATAGTGATCGGTAAGTATGTTGATAGGTATTTGTCTGTCTGTCTGTTAGATGCACGCGATGTCTCCAGAAAGCGAGGTTAAATCTGCTCCAAGTTTTGCATGTGCATTCATCATGTCTCGGACCAGGAGCCTATTGATATTGGATAAATTATGTCGTATGATTAGCAAGTTATTAATTAATTAGTGATGGGACACGCGGTGTCACTATAGAGTCATGAATCGGAACCGCAGTTTCGATCGATGAGTTTTCGGCCTCCGACCGATATTCTCGTTTTATTTTTTGTCGTTACTTGTTTTGCACAACATGACTTATTAGTCTATCCATGGTTTGTCATGTGAATGGTTGTGAAATGGTTCACTATCAGATTAGACTGCTGATAGAGTCTCGCTCAATTTCATGTTGGATTGGTTAATGGTGATAACGTTTGAACAAATCAAAAATTGATTCATGGTTGCTGGAATTTGACCAGTTGACTTTCATACATCTCTAGGCCAACTTTCGAATCGCTTGATATATCTCTATTATGCTTAGCTTTTGGTCAGTCTAAACAAGTTTAATCAAAATGAAATGCAGTAAAAAAATTGAAACATTGCATATTTTATTTCTGGAGCCTTACCACTGAATGTTTTCTTCAAGCTATTGATTCCAAGTGACAAAAGCATTGTTATTTACTACAGTGTTCACTTTTTTTCAGAGTGTTATCATGACTTGTGGAAATGGTCGACAGAGAATTACTCGGATTTCTGGGAAATGTTTTGGTCAGAATCTGGCATCATCTATTCTCAAATTTATAATCAAGTTGTTGATAAAAAATTATCAATTGTTGATAATCCCGAGTGGTTTGCTGGAGCAAGACTAAACTATGCAGAAAATTTATTGAAATTTAATGACGATAAAATTGCAGTTTATTCAACTGGTGAGTAGAAGATTTTTGAATTGTTAAAATAAGCCTTGATTTTTTTATTTGTTTAAAAGTCTTCTCAAAAAAAGTCTATGGAAATTACATTTGGAACTGAAAACGGCCAAGACTGGATTTGTTTTTTCAATACTTTGTAACTAATTTTGGATACAAAAAATCAAACATATATAGCCTACTCCCGAAACAGATACGACAAATAACTCACTGAAGTTAACTTTAATCCGATGAGTTTGAATTTAGAAATGCAGGGAAATAAGATGAACAGTAATATGATTCATTTTAAAAACATTTTAAGGATTTCGACATAAAAGGTTTTCTCATTGTTACTGCTAGTCGTCAAATAGTCAAAATGATAATCTTTCTTAATTATTCCTAAAGTCGAAAATTCAAAATATTCAAAAATTTAATACATGAATGAATTCTTTCATTTGATGACCCTTCTTGCTTGCTTCATTATTTATTTACTTTAATTGCCATTGGATTGGTTACTGAATCATTGAATTCAAGATTTTCAACAATATTTGCATTTTGCAGTGTATATTGTTGAATTGGAACTACGGTAATAATTTTTCAATTAATTTCCAGGTGAACAGAGGCCAACAAAAACATATACATACAAAGAATTACGAAAATTAGTCTCCAAATATGCAGCAGCTCTCCGATCTTTGAACATTAAGACTGGAGACAGGGTGGTTGGTAAGAAAATGTTTTCATTGAATGAAGGGAAAGAAATAGAGATGACAATAGATAAATTATTTACATATTATAAATTACTATATACAATTATAGATCAAAGCATGCTTCAAGCAAGACATAATCATTTCAACTGGAAAACATTTTTGGATAAAATATGAGGAAATACCGTTTTCTAGTGAAAAAACCCTTTTGAACAACATAATAGGAATAAAAATTTTTGAAATGAAATTTGCAGTTTTTCAATCAAAGATTTCAATTCAAAAAGTTGTGCGATTAACCAGATTGTTGTAAACTGCTTGTCTGAGGAAGTCTGACTTTGGTCGGTCGAAACGTCACAGAAATACATTTGTGTTAGTGTGCAGCAGGACTCTGTAATTGTATAGCATGATATGTTTATTCCTGCTACAGCATCTTTGCAATATACACATACGAATCGAATCCACTTGCGCAAAGGCATTAAGGAAGGATTGGAAGTTGATCTCGCGTAACCTCTACTGATAGTTATACCCATAAAATGTTTGAATATTTGAAGATACCTGCTTCTGATGAGAATGATGCCTGCTTTCTTATCTAGAATTGTACTAAACTTAGCTAGTAAACTAGATTCGCTTGGATGCTTGCCCTTTTATAAAAAGAAATCTTACTGGGATGTATATCTATATTATATCACAGGTTATATTCCCAACTGTGTTGAAGCTCTCGTTGCAATGTTGGCAGCAGCCAGTATTGGTGCAATATATAGTTCTACATCTCCTGATTTCGGAGTCATGGTTAGATTGGAATTTTTTGATTCATTTTTTTTCTTATCTGATGTTTTGAAGTACTTGAAAAAATTAGTTTTATTACTGACTTGTTCAATTAATGTAAAAAAATGTATTGAAGATTTCGAACCAAATCCAGTAAATTAAAATGATAAAAAATAGAGGAGTGAATTCCAGTCACTTGGTAAGATAAGAAATCAATCAAAATTCCAAATAATATTGTCTGAATTCAAAACTTCAATTCCCCTGCCGCTGCCCAATATCTCACCCAAGGGGTGGTAAAGCGTAATGCCCAACCGGAAAGATTCGTTTCCTCTAGAAAAAGCTCTTTATATATCATTAAGTATCAGTTTCTGCTTATACAGACTCTTGTTCAAAGTGAACAGGAGTATAAAAGCATTGCATAAAAAATTGAGTTTATTTTGATCTCAAGTATTTTTCATATCCCGTCTATTTCAGGGTGTTCTGGACAGGTTTCAGCAGATTGAACCGAGTGTTATATTTTCTGTGGATGCAGTTTGGTACAAGGATAAGACACATAATCATTTAGATAAACTGAAGCAAGTAGCATCTGGGTTACCTACTTTGAAGCATGTTGTCGTTATACCTTTTGTTAATGATGAAAGCAAGTTTGATATATCGGAAATTTCTAAAAGGTAAATTGGCGGAGGAGAAAATAAAATTGTGGTCTTTCTGATCAAGCTGTGTATTTAGTATAGATCTGCTAATATTTCAATCTTAACTCATATAAGGGGTCATATAGTTATAATACCAACATTAAAGTATCATCAGTCATGTACATTTGTGAACGAAGTATAAATTATTGCCCAATAAACAGTGAGTCCCCCCTATTTGTTTACTTGATGTTCTGCTTTATTAGTTTAATTCCACTTGTTGCTACAGCTGTATTAAGATACTTGAACGAGGTAATGTTAATATAAAAAGAAAACAGCATGCAAGACCTATTCTCACCTAAGCTGAGTAGGAAATAGTTTAGACTCGATTCATGATTTTAACTTAGGGTAATGTTATCTCCAATTTCCAGCTCTTCTCCCCTCTGAAAATCGAATTTGGTATTTAAGTAATTACTGTTTTTTTCAACAGCATGATGTTGTCTGAGTTTCTTAGCAGAGGTTCAGATGATGAAGATATTACATTTGAACAATTGCCTTTCAATCACCCACTGTTTGTAATGTATTCATCTGGAACTACAGGACCACCCAAATGTATGGTTCATTCAGCAGGGGTAGGTACTTATTGATATTGTAAATATGTTTTTTTCCTTGAATTTGTTCTTATAGGGGGTTATCCAAACTAACTTTTCTGAAATTTTTGGTGAGAAGATTACTATATGGAATATTTGACATGACGAAAAAGAAGAGATTTGCAAAATAAATTAATGTCATATCTTTGATTTTATTGTTATACTTCTCTCCGAACAAAGATCTGTATCAGCAGTTACATGCAAAAAACCAACCGTACAATACGAATTTAGGTTGGTCGCATGAATTTCAATATTTTTTGTATTTGGAATAACATTATCAACCTTTTTTTGATACAACTAAAATTCAAGTTTGATTTTCTGCTTTTTTAGGGAACACTCATACAGCACATGAAAGAACACATACTGCATGGTAACATGGATAGAAATGATATATTGCTGTTTTATACAACTGTGAGTGTACTTTGAAATTATTTTATTATTATTGTACATTATTATTTGAAAATTTCCAATACTTTTCCTGCATAGTTACATTCATATTTTTGGTCTTACTGTTTTTCGGCCCTTATTAATGAATTTAATGAATGGAATGAATTGTCCCTATTACCTAGTGCCAATGAGCAGACGTTCATTCTATCGATAGATCAAAGTTAGATTCTCGATAACACTTATTTTGATAAAAAATCTTTGGGGCTTCCGAAGTATGCGAACCAAGATGGCGGACATCGGAATGTAATATGTGTACTAGGTCAGGGTTAGGCCATAATTTTAGGTATAAATACTACAGGAGGCTCTTGGCTAGTCTTTGAACTGATAATAGGACTAAAATAAGGAAAATTGGAAAAAAATTATCGCCTAACCCTAACCTGTTACCCATGTTACGTTCCGATGTCCGCCATCTTGGTTCGCATACTTCGGGAGCACCAAATCTTTTTTGGGATGTGATGAGACATAATTTAAAAAATTGATTTAGAATATTCAAAACAAGCTGAAGCGAAATATTTTTGACTTTTCATGCTTCTTGCTAAATTATCGTTGTTGAGGGTTTTGTTTCAAAAAATTGCCTTTTTCTGCAACTAATGAAAAACCATTTTGAATAATAAATGATCTCGTTTCTGTTTCAGACAGGTTGGATGATGTGGAACTGGTTGGTTGGTGCATTATCAACTGGTGGTTCTATAGTATTATATGATGGTTCTCCTTTTCATCCGAAAATAACTGCATTGTGGGAGCTCGTAGAAAGTATAAAGTACGTAATTCAGAAGTTTTAAAATTATTTAAAATTGCAAAGGGAATTAATTTATGAATACAATATATTGTTCTTGGCTCTCACAGATGTGTTAAATAAAGTAAAAATACTTAAACAATTACTGATAAAAAAATTCTACGTTATTTACAATTGTTAATGGCATTGAAATTTAATGATGATTTTAGCTCTTTCTTTGTTTATTGTTTATTTCATTGCCGTATACTGAAATAAAGAGAATCTTTGCATCACTGTTTTTTAGTATTTGCTGTTGTGCACTTACTACCAAACTATTGTTGGAATTCTAAGCAAATTGACTAGAGGCATTTCTTATAAACGAGGCTTGCACAAGCAGAGTTATGAAACGAGCGTAATAATTTTTTAATTCGGTTAAGGACCAAATTTATTACGCTGTGTTTTAGTTCTATTACGAGTTCGGGACTGTCTGTGTTAGCCAAGTGAATATACTCCCTGCCCATAGGATTCAGTCCCTTTACGCAACTTGATTCAAAGTAGGCGAACAAAATTAGTTACCTCCATATCGGTACACACACTTCTGGAGCACCTTCAGTCATTTTGTCTACCAAAAATGACAATGATTTACATATTTTATTGCTGCAATTTCACAGAATTACAATTCTGGGAACAAGTGCAAAATGTTTAAGTATGATGGAAGAATATGGAATGAAACCAAATCAAACACACAAGATAGATTCACTTCATACAATGTTATCAACTGGTTCTCCACTTGCTCCTCACCAATATGATTTTGTTTATACTCACGTCAAAACGGATTTAGTGATGGGTTCTATTTCTGGTATGTATTGTTTTATTTGGCTAATGAACAATTTTAAGTATTCTGGAATTCGAAAATGACCAAATTTGGCATTCGCGAAAAAAAAATTCGGTTGATTATAAAAAAAAATTTATGTTTTTTTCTTCTAAAGTTGTAGTTTGAATGTAAGGAATAATGTTGAACTAAAATAAATCTCTGATAAAACTTTTATATAAATTTGCAAATGTTTTTTACATGTTTTTTACAATATTGAAGATTCTGGTTTAATAATAATAATTTATTTAACAGACTCAAATTACTATTAAATTAAAAATGAAACTACGGTAACTAATAGAAATCAAAATATTTATTGTATATGATCTTGCCTGTCCTATTTTACATATTTACTTTTCAAAACTTTTCATTTATTTCATTATTTACATTCCATCCAGGTATTTTCAACGTATTTTTTGAATAAAACATACTTTTGCCTTACTATCTGTTATTTGTAGCTTTTTGTTAGCTAGTTAATTATTATTGAGATGGAGCGCGAGACTTGATAAATTCTATAAATGGGGGGCGCGGCTTAAAAATTTTTAGGAACCACTGTCTGAAATAGTTTGAGCGACCAATTCAGGATTTACCGGTCCTTTGTTGACTGACGAAAATTTAACTTTTGAACAGGTGGCACCGATATAATCTCATGTTTCATGGGACAAAATTTTGCTGTCCCAGTGTATAAAGGTGAAGTGCAAGAAAATAATCTAGGAATGGCGATGTCATGCTTCGATGAAACTGGGAAACCTGTTTATAATGAACCAGGAGAGCTAGTATGTACGACACCTTTCCCATGTATGCCGACACATTTTTGGAATGATGAGGATAATGTTCTGTATAGGAATGCATACTTTGCTAAGTTCCCAGGTTAGAGATATTTCATTTTTTGTTTCAATGGAAATGATCCGGATTCCAGTTATGAACTGAGAAACCAAATTTTAGTACAAAAACTTCGATGTATGCAAGCATATTTCCACTGCCTGTTAACATTTTTGTATGAAAATTTCTCAAAACAAATTCACACGCACTCATTCAGAAATACAGAAGATTGATCCAAGATTGGATTTACGAGCGGCCACTAAAGTGCCAAGAGCTGCCGGGACTATAACCAATTATAGTATAGAATTTCGTGTTACTAATTACCAATTGACAAGAGTCATGAATCAACTTAATGCTTTTCAAGTTTTTGTCGTAAAATCTGATATCGATTATTATCATGAAAATTGTGAAATTCTGTTTCCCACTTCATATGTTAAACTCAAGACTCATTACAGCAAAGCTTTCCAAACTTTTAGGCTTTGAACTTTAGGCAACCCCTGTTAAGTTGACATTGTTAAGTGGGCCGCTTCTCTGATCCTATTCTTCCGAAATCGTGAGATTTATGTTTCGCACTAGTTTTAATAATTGTGTTTTGAATCAAAAGTCTGAAAAATATGCAATATATGATTGATGTAATCCTGCGACCCCTAAAATTTGTTATGTGCCTCACTGTGGGGTCACGACCCCTCTGTTTGGTAAGCCTTGCATTAAGGAATTATTAGCTGAAATAATCATTGGATTAGAAGAGTTTTTCTTCTTTTTTCCCAGGATAAATTTGTAAGACTGATGTATCATCCTCTGCAAGATGAGGAATATGTATTCAAGCTGTGTTATTCAGTTGCAAAATTTCTTTAGTATGAATTGTAAACATATTATTAATTTCACAGGTGTGTGGTCCCATGGTGATTATTGTATATTCAATTCAAAAACGAATGGAATAGTAATGCTAGGCAGAAGTGATGCAACTTTGAATCCTAATGGTGTTCGATTTGGAACTACGGAGTTGTATGGAATTGGTGAGATAATAGACTTTGGTATATTTATTATGTTTCATATGCTGTTTAATTTCTATTATGCATATAAATGTGTATACTGTATATGCTTTTTGATCATGAACATATGTATGTTGTATTTTTTGTTCATATTCCATACTTTGTTTTTGAGTGTTATCTTTTTGGTATTGATTGTCTTAATCCAGCATGTAAAAATTTAAAATTATGTTTTGTTATGCTTTATTTTGCTTAGCGAAATTTATTTTTTATGGCGGCTAATTTGTTAAGGTGCATTTTGGTGATATTCAAAATTCTTTAAACTCTTTTATACTAGTTTTCTTAATTCTCAAACATTTAAATTATTTTATATATATAGATGATATATACTGATTTTTAGTATAAATACTAACTAATCTGATTAATATCTTACTAGGTATCTTGTGATGTTAATTTGAATCAATACGTTAGTACAATGTGAGACTATAATCTGTACTGGTATCAAGTTGAAGGTCGAACAACCTTTTTTGAAGGTTTATTTCAGATAACTCTTGGGAGTCTTTCGATACTTTTCATCAATGCACGACTCCTGTACTACGGTACTCATAGGATGCAACCCTTTCTTTCATTGCATGTTTATTCTCAGTTGAAAGAGCTTTCGGAAAAGATGTCGAAGACTGTGTTGCTGTGGCACAACGAAGTGTTTCAGCTTCTAGTTTTGGTGAAAGAGTAATATTATTTGTCAAAATGATGGAAAATGCACTATTTTCTGAAGATCTCGCAAAGAAGATAAAATCTGAAATAAGGAGACTTTTATCTCCCAGACACGTTCCAGCACTTGTTCTGGAAACGAAAGATATTCCGGTACATTATATATTAGATCAACAGTTCCCAATCGGTGACTCCAGACTGGTTGAGGGAAAGGGCACAGTGCTAGACTCAGAACTGATTCCTTTACAAGAAAACTTCTTGTTCTTCCCCAGTTTCATTGTTGATAAGGATATTTCACGGAGTGTTTTCACTCTGTTGAGCATGAATTGTTTAAACATAATTGGATTTGGATTTACTATATCGTGAATGCAGGACTTCCAACGAGTATTTTTAAAAGCAATTTCCAACTTATATTGAAAAACACTTTTTACTCTAGCTCCAGACTTGAGATGTTTACCCCAAATCTAAAACAAAAATTTAATTTTGTATACTACCATCTTTGGTTGTCATTTGAGAATGCTTATCTAACTTAATCTGTCTGAAATTTGGACTCTGATTGTCAATGATGAAAGTCTGAAATTTAGTGCCGAATCCATGGGGTTTGAAAACATGATAATGAAATGATCAAATATTCATTGAAACATGCCAAACAGCGGCTCCAATCCCCTGCTTGAATCGTCCAATTGTTCAAAAAAACAACAACATCACAATAATTTATTTAGTCAATTGTACTTTAAAGTTGCATTTATAATTTTACTTCCTTTCACATGATTGTCCTTTTACAGTATACCATCAGTGGAAAAAAAGTTGAAATGGCTGTAGCGAAGATGGTGGCAGGTGGATATATTGCACACTCTGCATCATTTCGGAATCCAGAATCTTTGGAACTGTTCAAAAATATTCCAGAACTACAAGGATTTTGAAGATTTATTTTTAAGTTGATTTTAATTCTGCCTCCATATATTAGCTTTGAATTATCACAAGTGCTGATTTAAGTATTTTTCAAGTTCACTATTATGATTTATGGCTTTTTGTTTGTTTACTAACTAAAATTGATATGCAGCCAGTCGAGTAAAATAAATTTTATGTTCATCAAAACAAACTATGCTCTATAATTAGTTCCAGTAACAATACTTTATATTTCATAGATTTATAGTTTTTATTAGTTTTAATATAATTTTACCAAACAGTGAAATGTTGTATTTTCAGCTTGCTGCTTTTGCACTGTTAATGAGGATGGATTTTTAAACATATTGCATTTTTCTAATTTGTGGAAGGATCTAACATAGAATCACTTTAAAAAATCTATAGTTCCCGAAAATACCTTTTACTGTTTATTTGTTACAACTCTGCTTTCCAAAGACAAACTCGCTCTAAATATACAGTGGTAATTTCTTTAAATATATCAGGATAACAGGTTTGCGCAGGTACCGCAGCTACCGCATGTATTTCAAAGTCGTTAGCGCGACGGTGTGGATTGGGAGGATAGCGCATTTTCGAAATATTAAATGTGGTTAAAATAGCCGAATGTTTTCTTTCCATGACTTCGATATTTGGGCCTTGAACATCGGAAACTATATTTCCGAGAATTCTCTCTATGTCACAAGTATTCCCTCGGACATGTGTCAGTGGACGTCGATGAAATCGATTTTTTCTCATCCGGAAGTGTAAAGAAACCAGTTGTTATGCGATCATCCGAGACGAGAAGCTACAACCTAAGGATTGAATACGCAAATCCAATTTCACCTGAAATAAAAGGAAGTGAATACTAAGAATAAGAAGGGGTGTCATAATATAGGTATACGTTAAATATATAAAACGGAAACATTTTGTTTTAGGAGTGCCGCGACAGATTGAAAACTCTATTTTGGACATGATTGAATAACCTAATTTCGAAATTTTCGATCGCTAACTATATCGTGGTCAACTGATCCGTTATTATTGAATCGCCGCCGTGTTGCATACGACTTCTTTCCATATTGTGATGATGATATAAAACTAATCAATGTAATAATGTAAAATTTTGCTTATTGCGATATCTGTTGTTTTGATTCATGTAATCGGGCAAAAATAAATTGATTTATTGAAGATTTTCGTCAACACGACGCTATCACACTGCACCTGTCCGTGTCACGATTTTGACGCACCGGATTCCCTCCACTTTGAAATTATATTGATCTGCAGTAATAAAAGATCACCAGCCCAACGGGACCACAGTTCAGTATTGTTTAGAGTGGGAACACCGCGCATACTAGTATATTTTTATACAAGATTGGTTGTGAGTCTTGCATAAACGCACCCTCGACTCGATAGGAAATTCTGCTAATTGCATCTTGACGGATTTACTAAAACTTGATACCCACAAATTGATTTCAAAACGGGGTGTTTGTCTTGTTACTGCTACAACAGTAAGCAGAACAACTTATTTCTATCTGGTCAAACTCGAAGTTGTATATTTGCAGTTATCGAGGTCAAGGGATTAGGGCGGATAAACCTACAGTCTGGGTAGGGGTTCCCATGCGAGTGAAATTTCTGTCAAAAGCAGCACTCTGCGGTTTTCGCAGAGTCTGGTGCCACATTGTAATAATAAAGTACCAGAGAGCCTTTACTATCGTCCAGGGCGGATACCACTCACTGCCTGCACATCGGTAGCTGGTAAACCATCACTTCCTTAGATTATCGCTAAAACAATGATGGAGAACTAAATTGTTTCCTTTCAATTATGGTAAATTCTGAAAAAAATGTCGCTTTCAATGGGATTCGAAGGAGATTTGAAAAAGGCTAATATAACCATCTGGTGACTTCAATCATCTTTGACAACTAAAACGGCGATGTGGTGCATTTTACTAAACGTTAGAAAAACGCTCGCCATCGAACCTCTGATTACGTGAGTTTGCAGGTTCGAATCCCGTGGGGATAATTATATGCGAGAGGATTGCTTGATTCCTCACCGACGTAGGGTGGTTCATGCAACCACTGGTGAGTTACGACTTCTTCCACAATCAAGTCTATACATCTGAAACAAATACCCAGGCTTGTCCATGGGAATGGGAAACGAATCCCATGGGATGGGATAGGACAGGCATAATTGCTATGGGATGGGAATGACGAAATATGTCCGACGGGCAAGACAGTAAATACCTGATAAACTGATCCCACACCTGTCATGGAAATCGTACGATAGGCCAAGGTTTGCCAAATGATTGAGTCTTATCGGCTTTCCTCTCCCCCGGGATAAATATGTAAATCCTGTTCTTAAAATAATTTGAAACGATTGAAGCGGTTCCTTCGTTAACAACATTGCGGGTTCCCATCTCATGATAACATTCAAATACTACATTTACAGCACCCGCTTTTGAATATTACTTACATATTTATAACAACGAGATTGTCCCATATATACTTTGCAAGATGAAGGTTCTAATTGTTGGTTTTTTGAAAACTGGAACCAAAAGTACGTGCGAAGCTTTAAGAATTCTGGGCTACAATGTATCGGAACATGGAAGAAATTTTGAGGAGTTATATGAAGATTGGATGAAAGTTCTGAAAGGCGATGGACACTTTGAAGATTTACGTCATATGTTTAAAGGTTATGACGCAACAAGTGAAAGGTTTGCTATGGCTTTTTGGAAAGATTTTCTCAAAGCATTCCCAGATATTAAGGTCAGTAGTGGAAGGTTTCATTTATGTATACAATTTGCTTTTTACAGTATTTGAGATATATCCTTTATATTTCAGTTGATTCTCACCAAACGCGACGACAAACACAAATTTGCGAAGTCATTCATCAATCAATTTACCAAGTACAATGAATCCGCGTTTTCATTTCCACTTTCTGTTTTTTCATCGACAGCTAGACGATGGTTTGACATACAACGGGACGTTAGTGAGTTTTCAGTCAGTCATTGTCTATTATTACACACGTGGAAATTACACACTGTTTTCTTGCGGTGTCGTATTTTTTGGGAATCGAGGCCGGCTAAGAAACTCGGCATTTTATTTCGACCAAATCCAGTCAATGTCTTGCATGGGAACAAATTTGTAACGCCTATCATCGGCGAGATTTTCATTTTTCCTGTCGAAATCTGTGGTATATCTCACTCTGCTAACAAATATGTTTTCATACGCCCAGACTACATCTTTTCTGTAATTACCCTGATCTCATTACTCGTTATACTTACAGCAATTTAATTATCAAGAACGTCTCAGGGGCAAAAAATAGCTTGACTCAGTGGCTTTTTTATTTATAGTTGCAAAAGTCTGCAAACCACCTTTCGAGAGCAGGGGATTTGAAGTATGTAAAAAATTTCCCATTCTGGATCACGATCAGTATGCAAAATATTATGAAGACCACAATAATGATGTCATAAAGGTAACTGTCGTTCAATTGCAGAATATATACTGTCCGTCACATTCTAATACTTATTTCTATTTTTAATGTTCTACATATACGTTCACTACGATCTCTCTTTAACAGAATGCACCCCGTGACCAATTGCTCGTTTTCAATGTGAAAGAAGGATGGGGTCCAGTCTGCCAATTCTTGGGGCACGAAATACCGGATGTTCCTTTCCCGTATGAGAATAGGAATGGTGCGATAACTGCACATCGCCTGAATCATGATTCGTATGTAAAAAAAATGTACACCGAAATGTATATTACTCTCGCATCATTAGCTTCAGTCATTACCTTTATTGCTGCGTATGTGTGGTCTTAAATTCCATTTCTGCTTTCTATACCACTACCTCTCATGTATCTTCTATTAACATTGATCATATTCAGCATATAAAGAATATAATATAACAATGTAAACAGGTGTGTTACATACCGTTTAGGTTTGTTTGCTTGTTGTTACATTACTTCTGTCGTATATTTGTGCGATATATTGGGCTGTATAGGTATTACTGGCATTTTTGAGAACCAAAACAGAACAGCAAAACATGAAGAATGTTCGCACTGAGAGACTGAAGTAAAGTCTACGCAATGTTTTTGTGTTGTTTCATATACAATTTGAAAATCTATCACCACGCAAAATCAAGGAATGAAACATATATACTGTCTCATGCCGTAAATATTGGTTCATTTATTGAGAGTTTTTATCAATATTGCGCTGACAGAAATCTGAACCGGAAGCAGTTGGCGAATGAAGTTTTGTGCCCATGCTACTGTCTTCCTCTCTATAGTGAAACTGTAAAATTATCATTTCCTCGTAAGCTGTGTACGATTGATTTTTTTACCGGATAGAAAAATATGTCACGGAATAATACCAAACACGTAATGCTCAAAACGAAACGAAGAACAAGTGCGACCGGGGTGGTCTTGATGAAATGAAAACTGTGTCACCAGACTCACCATCAATTAAAATGAAATATCAAAATTATATACACAATATTGGATTTCATAGCACTCAGCTAACATTATAAAAAAGGATAGATTGTTGACGAATTTTTTGATCTCTATTGTACATATCGTCGTTGTGCCGTACCTCTTTGTCCTGTGTATTGTACTAGAGTTTTATTTGTATATTTCATGTCTGTTGTCCTACTATGACGCAGCAGTCCTAAACTGCAGGTATACTTGTTGGGGTGCATGTCGCAAATCCGTGTCTTAGGCCAGTAATGTCTTGAACATGTATCCCGTCTCTATTATACCGTTTAATTATTATGCAGGTACTGTTACATTTTTGAGGCAAATAAGCATACATACTGTAAGTATATATATACCGGTACTTGAAATTGTTTGATCCGTTGACGGGATATGACTATTATAAGTATAGCGGGATATGACGATATGACTATTATTATCAGGAGACTATTGTTGCCAAAACTTCAATTGAGGTTTGAACATGTGACTTTGAATGTGAGCAAAAAACTTTGTTTCAAATACACAGTCATAAAAACAGCAATAAGACTAATTGTAATATTTCAGTTTACTATGTTATACTGTATTCATTTGCTTTCCTTGACTTTTCTGTGTAAATTTCTCAATGAGAAATATCCGATTTATTTGTGTTTTTGTGCTCACAATGTTAATTTGTGACTTCTTTGCATATAAAAAAATAAATGAGTTTGATCGTAAATATATACTACCACGGTAGAGGGACTGAAACCTATGGGCAGGGTATATTCACTTGGCTAACACAGACAGTCCCCGAACTCGTAATAGAACTAAAACAAAGAAAATCGGAACAACATTATGGCCTAACCCTAACCTGGTACAAACATACGACAGGAGGACCAGATTAATCAGCAGTTCATTTCTTACCAATTACCATACTGGAAACTTTCTATTCCGGTTATCTATTCCTATCAGTCGTCCTGTAGTCTGATGATTATACTTTCATAAACCAGTTCAATAGGTTTTGCTATTGCCATATTAGATATTCAAAGCCTATTAAGGAAGGGATGTACAAACGGATTCGACTACATTCCAAGTTCTTTATATTCAATATAGTATAATTTGAATTTAGGATTAGAACATTTTTATTCAATAATAAGAAGTTTTGGGCTGTCAGACTATCAGAACAAAACATACAATATCTCAACTGGTAACAAACAACACATAGAAAACAATGGCATTTATGTTTGTGTCGTTTTAGATGTGGTCAACATGAATATGTAATTTTACACATAAACAGGCCTGCAATTTAGAATGTATTAAAAATTCCATATTCAAGTATATTTCCTCCTAATCAATTTGGAATAGTGAAATATTTCAATTTGGCCATCCCTGTATTATTGAGCTTCATGCCTGGATTTAATGAAAATAATATATTACTTTGCTCAATATTTTATCAACTTCAGGTTGGGGAGGAGTTACAAGGTTGCGTGACATTGTCGGTTCCAGAAAAACTATGCATTCGCTTGCATCTTCAATGCAGATTGACTGTAAATCTTCCTTGCACTGGCTGACGCATTGATTTCAGGTGATTGGTTTAATATATCATTTATTAAATCTTCACTTTGGACAAGAAACAACTGATATGTTTGGAGTTACTATTTTTTAGATCGAGATCTTTTCTGCAAGGTATAGCTTACCAATTTATTGCAACCTGGGTAAGGTGACGGACATTGTGTGCTGAACCTGAAATCTTTAACTTGCGATCAACCTCTATAGCGCTCTTCTCATCAGTGTGTTGAGATGCTTAAGTCATCGACGCGAGTCACCAATTATTAAGACCTGGAGTAACATGAGGAATCTAAACGAAATGACTCTATCGCACATGGGCAAACTACGGCCCGCAACCCAAATCCGGCCTGTTGGGTGATTCAATTAAAATTTTGCCCCCCCCCCCCCCTTATCGGCTGACTGCCAGTGGAACGTAACCCTGTAGTTGACTCGAAACTTGGGGCGGAACCCAAGTGGGGCGGAACCCTTACCCAACTGGGGCGGAACCCAAATAAAACATTCCAGGAACATCATTTGAAACTATAAGTGAGTATATTATGAGCAAACCTACCAGGTACAAAACAAAATGATTTTTGAAGTGTAGCTAGCAAGTTTAATATGCTTGATCATTTTCAAGCAATATACATGTATTAATAATGACTTAAGGATTGAATGTAAGCCCTGGAGCAGCTCCACCGTTTGAGAACCACTGCCCTGGACAGTACTGGCCTGAAATGCCTCGCAACCATGGCTGAAAACCATTTCTCTTTGCCATCTTCTCAAGTAAATTTTATACCCTATTCTCAGCGACAACATAAAAAACTATCCCTAATACCATTTGCGTCTATCTAGAAACTGGTGAGGGAGATTTTTCTACTTCTGACGTAGCAGAAAAATGGTTGGAACAAACCTTCAAACTCAGTAAAACAGATGCCAGTGTTTTTCGAGTCATAAAAGCAGCCGTTTATGAATCAACTGTGGAAAACAACCGGACTTTACCTTTAAAAATTCTAAAATAGGTTGTGCAATATCTATTCCTTAAAAATAAATTTATTTTTTGCAATTATTATTCGGTGTTTCATTGTAAGTTTTCAAGAGTCCAATTTAGTTTTGCATGTATGATTGTTATTCTGGAGAAAAATATATGGACACTGGTACTTTTGACATGCAATTCGTATGGTACAAACTGGGGATATTAACCCAAAAGCGGGTATATGGCAATTCTTAGGGGGTTCCAGGTGTTCATCTTTCGGCTACTTAGCGGGAAAACTGGGCGCGCCGTGTCCCCACCCACTCCCCAGCTAGTTAACAAGCATTGTACATTATAATTTCGTCAGTCTCGCTGTTAGAAGAGACCTGTAGCCTTCGTTGTTTCAGCTGCCATGAAGCTTAGTCGGGTTAAAAAGTTTGGAAACCATTTCAGAGCTTTTCAGTTCTGAAAATCAGAGGCTGGCAACATTTAGCCAGTTGTGGACCATAAAGCAAATCTACAACATTTAAGCGGACAGAAAATATTGTCCAAAGAGAAACCCTTTCAATTTGGCATTGATTGAATGCCGCTGCTAGACATGTAGTCTCAACTGTACTTTAACATAAAAACCGACTAATTAGGGGTCAGTGTCGTAGCTAGGGTGTGGCAGGCATGGCTCTTGTCATAGGTGCTATTTGGACAGCGGCGGAAAGTTTTAGTCGTAAAATGTTTCAATAAATTAATTTCGAATTGGAAATAACTAAAAATACTATTCTTACTCAAATTGTAAGTACAAGTATCTCATTTCAATAACAGTCAATTGTCAGCCAACTATCAAAGGGGCGCATTTTTAAACTTTGCCATGGGCGCCATTTTACGTAAATTCGTCAAAAGGGTAGCAAAATTGCATGCTTTATCGAATACGGAATATGAATAAAGTATATAAATAAGCTTCGTATAAAAAAAAATCGCAAATAGATCGAAAAAGTCGGCTGATTTAGTTATAATCGCTGAATGTTTGGTCAGTGTGAATAATTTGGATGTCGACAACAGCATAACGTCGGTAAAATATATTTCTGCCAATTTCCGTCACCTAGTCATGTGATTCCTGATAACCAGTGATAAAGCATCTTCAATTAGCGGTCTCCTCCACCCTCTTTGTTTCTTTATTATAATCACACTTTTTTCTTGCCACGTCAAAATTTGTCTGCGCTTAGGCGGTCTTTCCGAATTTGACGCCGTCAGGTGAGCACTGATTTTATTTTTGTGATTTTTTGCGTTTAATGGTTTATGTGCATCTTTGTATGGCTGATCCTCTTATAATTCAACTTTGCATTACCTCACAGACATTCTTAAGACGTTTGTAGCTATACCAATGCAGCTACGATAAACCTAGGCCTGCAATTATTCATTCAAATATCTACAAAATGGAATTGAGAATACAAGTTCTGAACTTGGCGAGGCGAATCTAAATCGGAATCTGCAATGATTTTATTAGAGGTCAACTCATTTCTTCAGTTAGGCCCTAGAATAGTACTAAATGATTCTTGGTGTGTAATTGTTGAGCCAAAGACAGCAGCGTAAACAAATAAAGGCGGTCGAGAACATGAAGTTATTCGAGTTAGAACAAAACAAGTAAGATACTTTGTATTAAAATTTACAATTTAAATGAATTCAATAATTACAAATTGCCCGATTATGGCTTTTAGCTTGTATTAAGCTTTAATTCAGCCTAAATATTGTATCTTGGCTATGTCATGTATTCCAGACCGTGTTTATGCAATCTGATTGGATGTAAGCAAGCTGCGAATGTTGACATCGGAAACTGCTGGGGCGAAACACTGTTAAAATACAAATTAAAATAGGGATTTCAGTTAGGCCATAATATATCACTAAATTGGTAGCGAAGAGAGTATTTGTGTTGCATCAAGGACCCTGAGAGAGATGCGACCGG